CACCGCGCACACGCGCACAGCGCGCACGCGCGACACGCGCAACACGCGCGCGCACGCACCGCGCACACGCGCGCACGCGCCGCACGCGCGCAACGCGCGCACGGCGCACGCGCACGCGCGCACGCGCGCACGCGCACACGCGCACACGCGCACACGCGCACACGCGCACACGCGCACACACGCACACACGCACACGCGCACGCGCACGCACACACACACACACACATGCTCGCATATACACACACGCTACAACACCCCACAGACGCACACAAACGCAGACATAACTTGGCTGGTTTGTCTACCGTACCCACCAGCAAACATGGCTTGATGCAAATTGATGGGTCATGTTTGGATAGCCTTCTTGGGGTTGTTTCGATGGGCAATCAAAGGGAAGCTGGGTCCCAGTTTGGAGATTCCATGCCTTATTTTGAGACACACAGACACAAACACACACAGACACGCACACACACACATTGATCCCTTTACCGCAGCTTTCCTTTGGGAGAGGACGCAGCAGGCACGAGGAAAGCAGTGACAACAAAGGCAGGCTACACAGACGACGCACAAATCATTCAAACAGCGCGCACACAGAGAGAACAACCGCCAAGCAGTTGTTGGCTTTCAAGTTGTTTGTTTCAGGCGGTTCTTTTTGCCTTTCTGCGGAATTGTAGCCTGTCAAAACTTTGGGCCCATTTCTGTGACACCAAGAGAGTCCCCGGAGTGAGAGAGATAGTCATACACAAATCGGGACTTTTTGAACCAAGATCATGACCACATGGGTGTGCCTTTTCAAGGTTCAAAGGGAAACCACAAGGACACCTGCCTTTTTGCGAGCGGGATTCCCGTTTTTGACCCACACACACACACACACACAAATTTCCGGCTTTCAGGATCTCTTCAAGCGCTGGATGGATGGGGAGGGGCGCTTGCCGCAACTCAGTCCCTGGTTCAGGCGCGCTTGCGGGTTGATACTGGAATTCTGGCAGTGCCATTGCGTGAAACCAGGAAAGACTACCTAGATAGCCAAGTTGCTGCTTTTTTCAGTCATTGTTGCTGGTTTTTGGGGTAAAGTTCATGGGAAAAAAAGCAGCAACTGGCGATCCAGGTAGTTTCGTTTGGTTTCCCTTGTCGGAGCCCGTCCGAAGACATGAGAGGCTTCACTTCGATTGCTGGATTGCTTGTGTTAGAACTCGACTTGCGAGTTTGTAACTGTTGTAACTTAGTAGTTCTCACCTGACCTTGGAACCTCAACAATGTTTTCACATGGTTTCACATTGGTTTCATGGCTTCGCAGTTTAAGGCAAATCTCAGCACTGGCCAACGTCATGCGTTGCATCACTCGCCCGCAGCCGGGTGCGCAACAAGGAACTCTTGAGATGGGTGCGGTTCCTTTTGTCGAATGGGATAGTCCCCTTCCTCAATGCCGAATCTGGTCTTGAAAATGAGGGGCCGCACAAATAGCAACTAGGCTTCCTGGAGCTTCCCCCTCTGCGAATTGACATCAACCGCCCAAACCGGGTGCTTTGAAAGGAGTGGCCTCCAAAACCATGGGGCCACCGAAGTGATGCCCACCACAGGGCCCCCAATGAATTCACAATTCCTAGTCCAAGCATCGGCAGAGAAGGGTAACCCAACTTTCAGGGGTGCTCAAAAGACCGGATCGGCACAAGGGCATGGAAGATGTTCGGTTCAATGGTCCTTAGAGTCTGGCAACCATAGGATCAATTTGAATTTTCGACTCCGAACGAACCGCCGTACGTACCGTGCCTCCACGCGCAGTGAGTCGAACCAGATGTGCACGAAGTGCAAGAGGAAGCGGGACCAGCACGGAATCGGCAACGCCTGCCTTGGCATGTTTGTTGGTGCCAGGGCGACTCCGGAATTCGCTTTTCCATGACCCCGTTTCAGCCAAGAGAGTTGGCCATTTTGGCCTCAAACGGCACCTAGTGCGGCTCCTGTGCTTGTAAACCACAAAACCGCAATCCTGGGCCCGTTGTTCCATGCCCCTGTTTTCAGGCAAACAGTTGGACTTGGTCCCCGGCTGGATCGTTTCTTCGATTGTCAAGGGTTCCAGAACCCCGTTTTGTTCGGATGGTCGAGCCCCTGAACGGGGGCCCATTCCAGCAGCGCCCAACATTTCTGGCCATCTTAGAAGGTGGTTCTACTACTCGGTTTTCAGAGGGGGTTATAGTAAGGCATATATATGACCATGATGGTAGAACCAAAAGTCAACGGTTTTGGGCGATGCTCATTTGGGCTCTAGTTGTCATGGTGTGCCGCCATATGGGTGTCCTGTCCCGGTTTGCGGCCCTTGGTCTACGTTCGGCCTTTCCGTCCCTAAATGCGGAAAGTCAGAGTATGCATCAAGCAATCTCACAGCAGCGCCACGCGTGCGCCCCCAAAAGGAGCAGCTTTTGATGGCTGGCTGCAGGAAGCAAACATGACCACTTTCTAGGCGGAAAGCGGGGCCCACCTTCTGGCTGCGAGTTAGCCGGGCTTCAATCAGTTTCTGAAGTTTCTTTGTGTCTTCGTCATTCTAGAGCACTTGAGCAACGAGCAACGCCCAACACCGGCTCCTGTACTTCCCCCTGTTCTGGACTTTGGGAAGAAGATCATTGCAGAAAACACAGTTTGGGCTGTGTTTTGGGCCAAACCGCGGCACTCCAGGAAGTGATGTACAGCTTGGCTTCCCTCCACGCCTTTTCGTCGCTGGATTCTAGCACTCACATTGGTTCAGAGTTGACTGCGCCTCCGAATCTGCTTAGAGGTTTCCTCAGCGTCCCCATAGACAGAGGGGACCGGCGCCCAACTTTAGGTAGGAGAACAAGGCTCTGCATTCGGCTTAAGTCTCCCTGATTTGGTTTTTGGCGGTTCAGGTAGACATGGTTCCGTTTCGGCACGTCAAGTGCTTTTGTTGCTCCTGTGTCAGGAAGGCCCATCCTGCTGATGCTTCCAAACTCCTTGCTCGGGATTCTTCACCACTTCGTTTGGACACCACCAGTAAATTGGGACATCCGTTGACCGCTCAGGGATGGGTTGAAGGCCCCAAGAAAAACCCGCCACCTTCCCAGACCAGAGTTGCGCGGCTCGAAGCGCCAGGTCTTTTGCCATGTTTGCAGCTGCGTGGACTCTAGACCCCTGACCGACATGCTCCTGTGCGCCTCTTTTGGACGAATTTTTGGTGGGTGCTGTTGGGGCAATGAGGGAGGGACGAGAGTGTGTATCCAAGAACTTGCGCCTTGGCCTGCTTTTCTTCTTTACCTCAAGAGTGCTCAACCCATGTCAGCTTGGCCATGTTGACCAATGGGGCTTGAATTCAACGACGGGTTGAAGCAATGTGTTTAATCAGGCTGGAAGGGTTTCCCTTGTGACATCCAACACCTTTCCACTGAATGTTTCGGTTGCTCCCCCCGTCCCGCGGCCGCCTTTGTTCTGTATTTTTCCGAGTGTTTTCCTTCCGAAGCAGCCAACAGCTGTTGTGCGCAAAGCCCCCGTTTCCCATGCCCCAATAGGCAAAACGCAAGTTGTCTATTGACAGGGCCTTGTCAGTTTCTATGCTTGATTGACAATGGGGGCTAGTACTATTTGTTTGTTTGTCGCGATTCATCTGCCTGGTCTTTGACTGTGGCCGCACTGCATGACCGTTTCATGTGCGCAGCTGCTCAATACAATAGACACGGAAGTCTGTGCACCAGCCACACCAGCCACAACCTCTCAAAGACTGACCCAGGCACAGCAGTCTGGAAGGCACTTCTTGAGACTTTAGTTGTTGCTATTGGTTTATGGTATCATCACTGGCAGCCGTGGAACAGGTTTTTTACCTGTTCAGTTCTCAAACTTTGATCTGAAAGGGTAGTGGACCCTCACTTAGGCGACACAGTGGGCAAGCTTCAAGCAATGCTCGTCAGGTCTCTTCGCGACATATTTGGGTTCACGTTTTCTGCTTTAGCCGGTCAGCTCAGCAGGCTTTACACCAACTTGGTGCCCGGAGTTGGCGCTTTCGGATGGATGCTGGCGCTGGGTTCCATGCACAGCGCGTGCAGGCAAGGGCAGAAGTTCGCGCTCAGGGGGGGGTGTCACCCGCAAAGTTGAAAAGGGGGGATGCAGAAGGCCTGCTGAGGGTTGGTTTTGGTTGGCATCATTGGTTTGTTTAGGTGGGTGTTGGCTTGGTTGGTTTGGGTTGAAGAGTGACCTTTGGGTTTCTCACTCTCATGAAGCCACGCACACACACACACAAACACTCAAATTGGGTGTGTCTTTTCTTTAGGGGACAATCAAAATTATGGCTGTCCTTAAAACCAACCAACAGGGGGGTCAACAAATAAAGCAACACCCAAATTCAATTCCACCACTCGGACCCCAGACCCACCGCCCCTTTCCCCAATTCAGATCCACGACCCCCCCAAAAGGACACCCTTGGAGTTCATTTGGGCGAATCTCCCACCTAAACCCACCCTGCACCCCAAGCCAACCTTGAAGCCAGCCTAAACAAATGGTATGTTAGTTTATTTCTTAGACGGTCAAAACAACGAAGCCAGGTTGGGTTTACGATTATTGTAAACGCTTCGCGTTGCTCGCCTCGGTCCGCTTTTGGCTGGCTTTGAGGTATAGACCGTGCTTCAGTTTGCCTTAGTGTTTATTTGACTGAGTGAGTCGGCGCCCCAATTTCTTGGGTTCGGGTCGCATGGAAGCATCCCTGTCCCGCCGACTTGAGCCTGTGGCAAAGAGGCTGTGGCAAAGATTGCCTTCCCTAGGGTTTACCCGGCAAAGCCTCCTCTGCCGTTTAAGTTTGGTTCCATCTATTTGATGACTCCCAGGTAGCAACTACACCCAGTGGCTGGCTTGTTTGCCCATCCTGGGCACTCGGAACGACAAGGAAACCGCTGCCTTTAGAGGGTCCACTATTTTGACATAACACATTTTTTCAAGCTGACACAAGTTTTCCACAAGTAAAGGACCTGGTTTGGTAGGCCCTGGTAGGCCATCTCCATTCCGCAGGCATGGTCCGAAAGCACTTCGGCCGTGAGCGGCGCGACGAGCGAGAGGATCGGCGCCGGTTTCGCTGCACCGTGGCCGCAAGCAAATTGTGAGAGTGGTTTGAATTTGAATTGGGACCCATGTGGTGGACATCCTTTGGAAATCTATGCCCACCAGCCGGTTCTTAAAGGGCTTCCTAGTGAAACTCAAGGCAATATCTGAATTTTGCACGTCAGGTTTCGAGGTTTGCGCGACAGCCAAAGTTAAGGTTCCTTTCAAGTGGTTCCCTTGTCTGTTCTACCATCTTTCTCAGTGTCTGGGCTTGACACTTTTGGAAGATGGCTAATCGTAAAGAAGAAAGGTTGGACTTTGTTTGGCCCACAGCTTTCAGTGATAAGGACATCCCTCCAAAGGGACAAAGTAGCGTAAGGATGGCTCACATCCGGTCATTTTCCGAACTTGTTTTTGACCCCCGCTGCAATTTGGAGCGCTGCTAAGAAACATACCGCATACCCTGGACTTCCCAGGAACCGAGTCCGGCGACGGCCAAGAGTCACAGGCGAATAGCGCCACATGTATCGAATTGGTGGATGGCAGATAAGTTCCGCAGCCGAAGGCCTTTCCCAAGACCAGCAGGGCCTAAGTCGTGACTAGAGGCTGATCTAACTTGAAACGTCATCCATGGAGGCACTTGGACCCTCTAGGCATGAACCAATAATAGAGAACGCCCCGGTATGAGCCCGTGTCTTTGTCCATTGAGTACGCTTCAGTTCTGAGAAGCCATTCACATGGGCCCATGGCAATGGTTTGACAAACGGGCCACTCAATAAGAGCGTAATTTTGAAGGGACATCATGCGTTTTTGATCTTCACCTACACGTAGCCTCTTTGGTTTGCGGTTTACGGGCTAACAAAAACTATGCTGGGGATGAACCAAACAGGGTTTTCCCATTCTGAGGTCACATCTCACGTCCAAGCGTCCAGTTTTCTGCTTTTTGCCGAGGCAGTCGCAGCCGCGAGTGGGGCGGCCGGGGCGGCCGGCACTCGCGCGAGCGCGCGCGAGAGCGCGAGCGCGAGCGATGGTCGGGGGAGGAGAAGGATGAGCGCAGCTGGAAGGCGGGGCGTGGTAAGATTACCTTCTGGTGGGTTCCGTTTTCATGGTCGATGATTTGGTGCAGGGTGGGCTGGGCTCTCTCAATTCCCAACTTTGGTTGGGGCTCCAGGATCATATTTGTTAAGGTGTGTGAGGACGTATGGTCCGGGGATAGCCTGTTTGCTCGCCTTTACTTGAATTCACATGGAACCCGAAAAAGTGTGATACCCGTGGAGCCGTGAAACCTTACAAATGACGAGTTCTTCAATTTTAAAGGGCAGGTTCCCAGGTATCACAGTGGGAATCAACCTACTTCCCACCCGGCAGGTGTTCATGGGTAGTTGCTCGCCCTTTCGGAAACCGATTCGCCTTTGCGCCTTGCAACAGGTGAGACATCAATATTTGACCCACACAGGTGGGCAACCACGCTCAAAAGTTCTGTTTGGGAGACAACATGCGGGTGTTGGAACCGAGCCTAGGATAGCTTAGCGGACAGCCCAAGGCATGATTCATTGCACAGTGGGGGGGGGGTGGAATGAGGGAATACCAAAAAAGCAACCGACAATTGTGTAGAGGAACCTCCTTCTTGGGGGACCCCCCCTTTTGTGCCAGTTTACCCCCATGATCATAGGTGTCCCTTTTAGCTTGGTTTGGTTACAGTTGGATATAGATTGCACCGGTCTAGATTGGTTTGTCTTATGTACCAGGGCCATCTATTTTTCTGTAGCGTCACCAATGCTTGCAATGCACGAATCCCCTGGAACCAAACTCAACACCGCGTAGCTGATATGGGGTACTAAGGGAGCCCGGGATTCCAATGACCCTCCTGTCCACGTTGCCATGGTCCATTGAAAGGAAGATGGTCTTGTATGACTCCTCAGCCATGTTCCACGGGGACAGGAGAGTATTTCAGCAAATATATGATTGACTCAGTTGTTCAAAGCCGACCTTTTGACCTTCTTGTTTTCCCGTTTTGGTACATTTTTAGTAGAGGTTCCCAAAAGGTGATCACCTTTTATGTCCAGGCCCTTTGGGCAAGTGGGTCGAAGCTGCCAGACGAATTGAGGATAAGTGGGAGCAATTCCTGGCCTCGGAGATGACGGAGCTCGCCCGCGAGGAGAACACGAATCCTATCGTTTCCGGGGCGGGCAGGTGTTTGGAGGCTGCTCGGTTTCCCCCATGATGCGGGGCTGTTCTTTTTTTTTCCCAAGGAGGTGTTGTTTGGTCCCTTCTTCAGGTACTCCCTTGATGCTGCGGATTGGTTCGGATTTCGATTTGATGGTGTCTTTGGGAAGCTACCGGGCCCTCATTTCCAAACCGCCAAACCGAATGCCCAATGGGGAAGCTTACTTTTTGGAGAAACCAATCACCTTTGAGTCGAGGGGACATCAGACATCGGAACGCTGGTCGCATGGTAGAAGATCCGCGTAAGTCTTTGCCACTCACCAAAGGGTCCGCTAAAAACTCATACCTTCCGAGCAAACGAGGTTTCGCGGGCAATAATCGACCATGACGGCGATGGCGATGGCATATGTAACGAAACGCGCGCGCAACAAGCTTCGTGCTGATTCAGTCACAGAAGCTGATATCTGTCATTGGAGGCAAGTGAGGCTCAGCACCATGCTAGGTGTCATCTTGGTTTACCGCTGGCTGTTGCTGGTTACATGCATGGTGTGCACGCAGATATGTGACTGGCTACTATCAAGAGAACCATTGGGCAGCGAGAGTTTGGGTTGCGCGTCATCACGCGCCCGACGAAGGTTCCCTCCACAGACAACCGTGATGTTGGGTCCTTAGGCCAGAATGAAAGCTACCACCCCTCAAAAACAGTCCTCTTCAGGTCCTGGGAGCTTCCGCGCTATCATATATGCTTACGTACACATCGGTGAAACCCACCTCCATCTGCTTCCGCGCTATCATATATGCTTACGTACACATCGGTGAAACCCACCTCCATCTCTCTCTCTCTCTATGTATCTACACAGATGCGTGGATGCACGTATCCCTGTTTTTCCATTTGATTGAATCGACCCAGGTTCATGGCTTGGATCCAAACTGGTTTTGACCAAATTCGGCTTCAACCCCCTGCAATTGCCTTTCAGGTTGGTTGCAGTCCGACCTAGGGAATCTGTTGCCCTTTTTTTTTTTGGGGGGGGGGAAACCCAACGTATGTGGAACGTGTTGTTCATTCAACAAGCTCTGGGCCTTTGGGGTCCGAGCCTCTCCAAAAGGAGACGAGGGGCACGGTCTGCGAGACCAAAATCCACTTGACAAAAGTCCAAGTAGGCTTCCTACTTTGGCATCACACACCAGGGCGCTTCCAGACATACCGCGAGTCGCTCCCAGGACCAGAGGAGCCCAAGGGACGCAGAGAGAAGGCCTGGGATGTGGTGGACAAAATCCACGCGCGCCGGGCGCCAGTTGGTAGGTGGTTTATCTCAGGGTTCTTTTTGTACCGGTCTCACCGAAACCAGTACAAAAAGGAGCAGGCGAGCCAGCGTACCCCAAATCTGACAGACACATGCCTTGAAGAAATAGATCTTGCTACCCTCCAGGTGCCTTCTGTTATGTGCCATGTTCCGTGCATTTTGGTTTGCTTGCAACCTTTGAGTCTCAGAGAGAGGTCATATCCCGTGTCCTCGCAGGTTGGGCCTTCGCGTGATTTCTGCCTTGGAACCATTGAAGTCAAGTCGGAGTCCAAGTTGCTTTGGTTTGTTTATTTCCTTTTGGAACCAAGCGAAGAAGGGCCCGCCTTGGCCACTAGATTCACCAAGCCGCACAGCGCCGAACCGCCAAACCGCTAGGCTTCCAAAGCTTCCAACCGCCAAACCACTGCACACCGCCAAACTGCGAACTTTTCCTCGGGAGGCCGCCGGAGCCACCGGCCACGTGGCGCGAGCTGGGAAGGCCCGCAAAAGTGATCCGGGTTCCAGCACAAAAAGGCACTCATCAGCCAGGGGTTTGTCAAACAAATCCTGGGCTCCCCTTGACAGTGGGGTGGTGGGGGGGGCTTGGAGGCTGGAGAGCCCGTGACTTTCACAGACGAAGGGGGCATTGTGTATCGGTCCTTGCATTAGGGCGAGCTCACCTGGGCAAAAGCGAGCTTGAAGCACCATGACGCAGGTGCTTTGCTTTGGGATGCCTTATTCCGTTTTTGGGGTGGGTTTAAGGGAAAGCCAAAAGGAACCCCACAATTTTGGGGGAGTCCCCTAAAAAGCAGTTTCAGGTTTGGAATACTCCAACTCGCGGTTTCGCACCGTTGTTATGTTAGCCCCCACCCCTCGGGGGCTTGTACCCAGCAGGTAACTTGCTGACATGTCATTGTCACCGTGACCTCTTTGCACATGGTTGGTTGTAATCAGGGTTTGCGAAATATTGATGTTAGCTTTCAGTAACCTCAACCATCTTTTTACTAGTTGGGAAACACCCGAGGCACGCTTTCAGATATGAGTTTTGGAGGGGCTTGAATATTCCCCCTTTTGCTTGTCAGGCACATGCCCCTTTCTATGAGTGGTAAGAGGTTGGTCTTGTTTAGACTTCCTTGCTGGTGCCTCGAATCCAAGATAGTAGACATAACACCCTGGGGGTGTAATGGGATGTACCACAAAAAAAGGCCACTACATGAAGGCTGCATATATATATATATATATTTATATATATAGCAGGTTTTCGCCGGGCAGCGGGGCAGGGGTAGTGGAACCCACGGTAGGAGAAGAAAGATCCAAACCAGGGGCCCGTCAGGGTCAGCTTCCGCGGTGGGCCGTGCCTCAGGAACCGCTCCAGGTCAAAACCACTCCTCAAAGCAAAGCAACAACTGCAGAGGTTTGAGTCTGCGAAAGGGTAGACCTTTGTTTGCCGTGCAGGGTAGACCTTTGAATTCTGTGCTGCAGCCGCAGCTGCGCGCCAAAGGTCTCGCAAAAACGGCCAGTGTGTGTGTGTGTGTGTCGACATAGGGGGACCCGCGCCCCAAGAACGGTGGTTTTCCTGTTGACTGCTCTCGGAACAGGCCCAGACAGTCAGACAGAGTTCCCTCAAACACAGAGACGCTGGCCGCAGGATGCCGCCTGCCGAGCCTCCAAGTCCTCCTTGGCGGCGCGGGCACCGGGTTGACAGGGGCCATGGGGTGGGCTGATGGAGTAGGCAGGAGGGTGTGGTCCATATTTTCTAGGCCCGGGTGTGACGCTTTTTTGGGGGAGCGTTCCCCTACTAAAATAGAGTACAGAAAAAAGGGTACCCTTGTTCTAACCTCTCTACTGGAGGACCTAGTTTTGGCAGAACGGGTAGACAAGTATTGGCGTGTCTTCTTTTTAGGCGATTCCCCAACAAGTTGGAATTCCTCTTCGTTTCGCTGCAAAACCACTCCGAAAAGAATACCCTCAAAGAAGGAAGCACCGACACAGGTCCTGAGTTCGTCTTGTAGCTGTTGAGGGACCACTTGCTTGGGCAAATGGAGTTGCGAGCAGTGTCCGGAATTTGGCTTCTCACCGATTCCATGAAGGTTCCTTTTAATTATCTCACCCGCTGAAAGCGAATCAACCTTTTGACCCCCTTTAGTTTTCCCTTTTGGTCTTTCACGTTCGATTTCCAGCCAATTTACCGAACCGTGGCCTTCTCGTCGCTCGACGGTTTGGGGATCACTGGGGCTCTTGTTTCACTTTGTTTCACTTAAATGACAATGATTCTGGTCGAGGGATCATGGGGTTCTCACAGAAGAAAAGAAACCGATGGTTGCCCAGTTGCCCAATGGATGCGGTGTTGCCTTTGCGGACTCGAATCCTCCCCTGGTCGTGTTTGTGTTTGTTGCTGCATTTTTTCTTTCCTCCGTTTCTTTCCTTGATATATTGCTTGCTGCGTATTTGGGTTTTGCCGCAGACAACTTATGAAACGCCCCTGACTGTGAGTTTTAACCAACCGATGGATGGTGGGCATGACACCGAGGGGGGGTCCCCACTTAAAGTTCACACTGACTCGTTTTGCCAAAAGGAAATCCGTGGGCCCCTTCCTTCCCTATTTGGCTGTCCGGTACTGGCGACGGGGTTTACAAATAAAAGCAAACCTGGGAGGTGCCCAAGTAGCCAGGTAGCGCCAAGGGCCTTGGGGCCACTCTATGCATATATACATATATATATATACACTCGTATATATAAGGATCGACCAACACCCCCTTATGACTACTTCTGTACGGGCTGAATGCAAAAGCATATTCGGTGTTATTGCGCTGTGGTCGCGAAAGACCGCAGACGGACGTTTCGCATAATATATTAGCATATATATATATGCATATGTATGCTCTCCCCCAAACCTAGGTTTCAGCAGTCTTCAGATGGATTGTTCATAAATAGAGTTGGGTGTTTCAAATCAGTCCTTATTCTATATCCGAATGTATTTTCTGATTGATTTGTTAAAAGTCATCTATGGAGAGGAATTCATATTGAAGCTCTAGTTCAAAATGTAAACTGTATTTGAACTGTTTTCCATATACAATACGTGAAAGTTCATGTTCAAGTTCTTACTTGAAAGATACATTCAACTTGAACTGCTTTCCTTATATAAATCCATTAAGGTTCCTATTCAAGTTCTAATTGAACATCCAAACTAAAATTGAACTGTTTTCCTTCTAAAGCACATTAAAGTTTAATCAAGTCATGTGGCGGAATGCATTCCTTTCTAAATGTTTTGTTCAAAGGCCAGACAGGGTCAATATGAGAATTGCTTAGATGAAGCAGAAGGCTTGCTAGCAACAACTTGAAACAATGTCAAACAACTTGAATGTTGTTGACTGACCGCTAGAAACTCGAAAGTATTCTGCCACTGGATCGAAGATTCAAGATTCAGTATCACATGGAAGCGTTTTCCGAGAATCTTAAATCCGGGCCACTGTAAAACATCTCGAATCCGGGCCACTCCAAAACATCTTGTTTTTTTTTGTTTTTTTTTTTTCCCCCCCAAACACTTGAACGTATGTTTCCACTGGGTTTAAGATTCAATAAATCAGATTTCGCAGAAAAGTGTTTCGAGATTCTTGGGCAAAACTTTTGGACCCGTGAAAAGTAAAACAACGTAAAACTCCTGAAAGTAAAGCGTGTTTGTTACTTCATGCTGATTTACTATTTTGTCCTTTTCCCCAATAGAAATAAAAGTAAAAGTAAAACCGCCAAAAGTAAGCAAGCTTTACTTTTTGCAGGGTGTTTTTCCTTCTACTGAGAAAAGTGAAACCACCTGGCAAAAAGTAAAGCTTCTTCCATTCTGGCTGTTTTACTTTTTCACTTTTGCCCAGTATAGGTACAAGAGTAAACATGTCAATGTGAAGTGTCTGCACCCATGAAAAGTATCCAGGAAACCAGCCAAAGTAAAACCGTTACTTTTTGCAGGGTATTGTTACTTGTTCCAAGCTTTTTTCTCAAGAAAGGTAAAAATCGAGGCCTTTTTTTTCTCCCCCAATTAACGTAAAGAAGCCCTAGTCGTTTTTTACTTTTCCTAGCACTAGTAAACAAAACCCGGCCTTTTTTATTTTATTTTCCCACATAAAATAACCAACCCTGCAAAAAGAAAACCTGTTTTACTTTCGGCAGTTTTACTTGTTACATTTCATGGGTTCATGAATTTTACTGTTGTACTTTCTATGTTTTTGGCTGTGTTTCTTTTTTACTTTGTTTTTCCACTTTTACTACCTAGTGTCTACAACACACACATTTGGCGCAGGCAATATGCATTTTTTTTTTTTTTTTTTTTTTTTTTTATGTTATGTTCACTGCAGAAGTGAACGAATCATTTGTTTCAGGGGTTTTTGCAGCTTTTTATGCTAAATTTCCTAGTGTCATCCTGATGAACAACCTAGGTTTTGGGGGGGACACCACATATAGGTTGTGAGTCGTGAAGGTTCAAGCTTGGGTTTTTTGTCGAGACCGCTCGAGAAAATCCTGGCTGCTCATGCTCTTATATTGTGCTCTGGCTAGGTCTTGGTTCGGTGTGTGGCCTTTCTGGACGCAGGCACAGCAGGCGGCAACGGTCGGCCCCTTGCCTCAGCCTGTTGAAGGGTTTCTCAAGGGAGGGTCAAATGATGGGTCAAACTCAAAGCACCAGATGATCGCAGGTTTTAGTCCTTGGTTCCATTTACTAGGGTTCCGTTTACTTTACTGCCTGTACACTATGGGTGTTTCTGAAAGTGAATGACATCCGGTTTTAGGGGGTCATTTTTGAGAAACACCCATATCACGCAACATCCGGCTTCTCGCAAACGACTGGAAAGAGCTTATCCTTGTTTCGCTTTGACATCATCCAACACACGGGCCTCATGTATGAAGAAGCACAACTGGGACCTCTTTCGACATCAAGTTATGTTGAAAGGAAAAGAGTCCAAACAGGTTATGTTGGGTTGGGGCCAAACACTTATATAGACCAAGTTGTAAAAGGGGCAACAGCTACGTAATCTGACCCTAGGTTCAGGCCTTGTTTTCGCCAAACGAATGGGTGGAGCACTGTGAAAGTTTGAAAGGAGCCGGACAGCTGGTTTACCCTGGGAATTGGTCACAATCAGGTCCTTCGGGGATAGACAAGCACCCGACAACCCTTCCGACAAGAATAGGCTCCCCAACCACCTCGCCTAGCTTCCATTCCTCCAAATTGCGGCCAGAAAAAAAAGGCCTCAAGGTTCTATTGCGCGAGACATGAGGTTGGATCCTATGGGACACGCATGGCAGTGCGCAGCCCCTTGCAATACAGATTTCACTTACCCAAAGCGAATCGACATCTTTTCGCCTTTGGTCTTTTCCCTTGAGAGATCAGTAAGGGGCTCCGTCCAACCACGATAAGGAAGAACAGAACCACGACAAGAATCAAAATTGCAACTATAAGGAGCCCCCCCCAAAGGCCCCCCCCCCAAAAGACGAGACCCCCCAAAAAAAAGAAAGACAAGACCCCCCCCAAGAAACAAACACCAAAAGGTGTTCACCGTTCATTTCCGGGTCCCTGGGCGGCGGGGCAGGGATCGATCCCCTTCAGGTGCCCCGAGGGGCAGAGGCGAAGCCAAGCACACGAGAGGCAGCCCCGCGGCCCTGCGGGGGGGGGGGGGGGGCTGCAGCCCCAGTGGGGAATACCCTGCCAAAGGATCGGGGGACGTGAACTTCTTTTTCTTTGAGTGCCACCAAAGGGTCCCCCTTTTTGTTTTTGTTTCATTCCCATTTGGGTGCAACTTTCAGGACATCATGTAGCTGGGGATGTCCACCAACCACTTGTGAGGCAGCTTTCTTGTTGAAATTCATAGCTGTTTGGCAACCTGAAAAGGGCGCCTTAGGTAAAGGGCACCTGGCAACCCGGAAAGGACACCCAGAAGGAAGCAGTTCTCAGTTGTGACACACGACCAAATCGTGAACCCTGTTGAAAGCGAGCAACAGACCTTTCGCCTCTTGTCCTCTCGGGTTTGTGGGCCAAATGAAATTGCCCGCGTGCGCCTTGTCTCTCTGTTGGGAATCTGTCATAGTACGGTGGATGCCCTAAACATTGCAAGCAAAGGACCATCCCTCCATTTTTCTGTGATGTACCGTGGTTTGATGGTTGAGTGTTAGTTTACCTGCAATCTTTGCAGCACCCTCTGTAGCAATTTGCTTAGTGCAGTGATTATGTGGTGAAAAATATGGCTGTAGTAAGGCCCCCGGGCTCTCAAAGAATAGCCCGGTTTTGCAAATTGCACCTCTTATGTAAGCCGTACAAACCCCGTGTTTGTTGTACTGGCTATAGAATCCAGGTTTTTTTCCAGTCTTAAGCGAGCCTTTTTCAGGGTTTAGGTGCTCGTATAGACCTTAATGGTAGAGCTCAAAGGGCCCTCCTTCGCCGCATTTCCGAGGGGCCGGTGATTCGGGAGTCGACGATCCGCCGGGCGATGGCCGAGAGGCGGGAAGTCGGTGGGAGAGAGGTGGATGGGGACAGAACGAGCTCAACCAATGGCTGGTTTTCCGAAGGGCGTCCATTAAAACCAACAAGGGGTTCCCTACCCTTAGTTTCACATGGCAACACTTCCAATTCTAGTTGACTTTCTGGTTTTTATTCGCTGCGAGACGTGTGGTTCCCTTAGAAAGGCACGCCCATGATACACCCATTTTGAGAGTGAAAGGAGGGCAGGCAATGCCTATCAATAGTTTGGAAGCGATTTGTGTTTCCCTTTGCCGGGGGCTATATACCAAAGTCCGAAGCTGGGGTCGTTTTTCTTTCACCACTTGGAGCATAGCCAAAAAGACGAGGCCAGCACGTGGGGGTACGACAAGCTCGCCTTGGGGATTCCCAAATTTAAGAATGAAAGGTGACCGCGGATTAGTCAGACCATATTTTCAACGGGTCCCTAAAATGAAGGATCCTCAGGAATAGGTTGCGCCCCAGGATCAGAATTCAGAGAAACTTGAGCGGGTTCCCATTGTGCGTGTGTCTCAAAAAACGAGGTTTCCCTCCAAAGGCGTTTCGTGAAACGGCGGTGCGTGGGGAGGTGGCTGCCTGGTTTGCGAGTGGCTCAACAGGAATCCTCCGGTCAACCCGGTTCGAGGCTTCCGATTTTTTTTTTAGTTGGATACTCTCTCGCTCTCTCTCGCTCTCTCTCTCTCTCTACATATATATATATATATATACACATTTGTTTCAGACAAGTCCACAACGCATGGGTATATGAAGGTGGGTAAATGGAATTCCGTCCCAACATGAAATGAACGGGCCCCACAATATCCGGCGTCTTGATTCCTTGGCTTGGGTTTTTGGACCGTGCCTCGAGCAGCGCCCAGAGTCCTTATCTTCCCTCACCTGACCAAGGTTCGTCTCTTGAGCTCTGAGAAAGTTCCGAATGTCATTCTTGGCGCATGGCAAGTGACGGTGGACGCGGACAAACCCGCGGTTTGCCCGCTGTCGCATGACGCCCTTGTGCTTCCGTAGGTGCAAAAGAGACTTATGGACCCAACGGAAGCTGCCACTTGTTCGGAAGACCGAGTGGCCTTTTGGGAGCCGTGAGACAATTGCCCTCTGTTGCCCAGTGGTTCCCTTTCTTCAACAACTTTTTTAAAGGGGTAGGGGCCGGTAAGGGTTCCCCGTTAAACTCAACCAACACAAGAGGGTGTCCTTTTTTTCCCGAGGGAAATCCACTGGGCATCTGAGGGACAGTCACCTATCGCTCTCATCCGACGGCAGGCCCTTTCGCAGAGCCAACGGAAAGCCGCTGCCGCAGCCGAAACCTCTCAGCGAGGCAGGAGAGCGCGGAGCGGGAACTTGGGACCGAACTCAGATTTTGATAGGTTCGAAGCTACGGACCTCGTTAGGTGGGAGTTTCCTTTTTTGGGTTCCCCTTTAACCCATTGAAACAGTGGACCCTGTATGTTGAGAAACACCCATAGAGGCTGCCGGGAGCCGAAAACCATTGGTTTGGTTTCATTTGGGGTTTCCCGTTGTCAGAGTCTCGAGCTTAAGGACAGTCACGCATGTGGAGTCACGCAGTCAGTTGACCAGGCCCCATTTCACGGGAGTCTTGTGTTGGGGAGGCGCATTTGGCCTCCCCTTTTGCCTCCTTGAGATGTGGCCTGGGTCGAAACACATCACATGTCAGCTTCTCGGCCGGAACATGCGGTTCCCTAGTCGAAAACAGATACTCTCCCCACTGACAAGAAGGCCATTTGATTGATCATCGCACGTGCCACGGTCAGAACAGCTTTTGACTTGGCGAGGGTACGGACGGTCTTGGGCGCCAAAATAGAGATTTTAGACAACCATTTGGAAGCTTCTGACCAAAACCATGACCACGGTCCGCGTCGGGGGTTTTGACCATGGCCCACAGGGGGAGGGAGTCCAGAGCCCTTCGTGGCTTCTCATTTTCCCCTGCTGGTTGCCCCATGAGACTCCTGACTGGGCGAATTGAGGCTATGGTCATGGTCACCGGTCAGAATCTCAAAATGGTTGTCTAGAACTCGAAAATGGAAGCACCACGTTGGGTGCTTGCGACGCGCCTCCTTCCTTCCCTCCTTTGTTTAAATCCTTGGAGTGATTCAGCTCCCCTCGTGACCTGGCGCATCGCCCGAGACCCGAGGCGGCGCCAAAGCCAAAGCCCAGGCTCCGGCCTGCGGTGAAGCGGGCGCGGCCGCCCTCGCCGCCCTCGCCGCGCTCGCCGCTCTCGCCGGAGGCAGAGGCAGCAAGGCGCGGGGGGGGGGAGGTGGTGGAATCGGTTTGGTTTCGGCGCGGACGCCGTTTAGGTGTTTTTTGTTTAGGTGAAAAGGGATTGTTGCCCAGAGGAAATCACAAGGTCACGAGGAAACCCGCACCTGGAAGATTGTGGGTCTTTGGACTTGTTTCCAAGCAGCTAGAAGATGCAATGGGTCAACTCCGCTTCCCTTTCCGGGCGGGTTCTTTTGGGATCTACTCCCAAAAGGTGATTTCTCTAACAATACTATTTTTGAGTTCCGTGTCAATCAGGGTACTTGTAACTTGGTGGCTCCCAGAAATCCCCTTAGCTTTTTAGCCTTTTTTGTGTTTAGTGGTAGTTTCCATTTAAAACACTAAAAGTTATTCACTTTTATCGGGGGATTTGAGGGCAACCCAGGTAACATTGGTTTTTCAACTTCCCCACGTCGGCCTCCGGGTCAGCGATCTTCCGGCAGGAGTCCCCCAGATGGGCTCGCGGACGACGAGGACGTGTGGGGCCTGCTGGCGCCGGCCAGCCCGGAGCCGGAGGTGCGGAGACGAGTCGAGAATGCGGACTCCCTATCATTGCCAGCACTAAGACGCCGGTTTGCTTTCTGGGTTTCCTTGATTTTTGCCTTTGAGCCAGGAACTGCTCACATTTATTTGGCAGCTGGGTCAACATCTTGAGAGCAACATCTTGATGAGAAATGAAGGCCCCGCTATGAACATACGAATAGTATTATTACACAAGCACACAATCAACACACTTGATGATCACTGGCCTACAGCGCCTTTTTTCCCAAGAGAGATGACACACCAGAGGCCATATTTTGCGTGCGCAGCATCCGCTTGCGAGTTGACAAGTCAACTTTCGATTTCCCGGACTAGATACTTTGTGGAAGACAAACTTGCTAGCAAACCAAAAGTTCGGGCCTCGTTTGGCAAATCCACTCAAATTGTGAATGACATCTACAGGCAGTCAACTGACACACAAGTCGTGAGCCATGACTTTAATGTATTGCGAAGGTGCTACACTACTCCGAAAGGGAATTGAGAGTTGCGTGAAGATACCAAGTCTCAACACCCCTTCCCCCTTTCACGTGCTCCGAATAAGACAGTTTTCGCAACAAGCACTTCCCTGCAAAATTAACATGGAACCTAAAACGGGTCCCCCAAAAAAGAGAGTGTCCTCTACATCTTTTGGTGGGTTCCATGTTGCTTTGGAGGGGAGTAAGACACATTTGGCAGGCAGTCCGCTCCTTAGGCCGGAGTGGAAACGTGGAGCCCAACTTGTTGGTTCCATGGGAAAGGGACCTGTGGTACGGTGGATGCTGTACATCGCAGAGAGCAAGTAGGGGAGCACATTTGTGAAACCCGTTTTCTGTTTGTGGTGTTTGGACCCTTCAAATTGATCTCATTTGGTGTCCCTTGAAACCAACCTAAAAGGCTCAGCAACGCAATCCACATGGGTGCCAGTTTTCATTGGGGACCCGTCGGTTGGACGGGACGTCGTCACAGGCGGATGTGGACCTGGAGTGCCCTGGTGCAAAGTGCGAAATTGCGCCGGACCGGAAGGCCTCCCAAAGCCTTCCATTTGCTTAAGAATACCCTCCCACTCTTTTCACATGTAGCCGGACGTCCGGGAAATGGTCCGATGCTCCCGGAAACGTCAGGTTCCATGTCAATTGGGAGGGTATGTATTGATATGCTCCAGCGCCTTCCAAGGGTGGCTTTTCCATTTGTACCTGAAGTGCCCAAGGGTCAATTCTGGGTACCAATTAACAGGAATTGGGTTGTCCCTCTTTTTTTTTTTTTTATTGTAAAGGCTTCGCGTTGCCTGCCTCGGCCAGTTCGATTTTTGCTGGCTTTGAGGTATACACCTCGCTTTAGTTTGCCTTGAAGTCTTGTGTTTACGTGAGCTGGTTTGTTTCATTTAGAGCGGGGGGTGCATGTTTGCGTGTTTCCATCTGGCTTGCCGGATTTGACAGGTTTCTAGAGAAGAGCTTGATCGGTTTCTACAGCTTTTTTTGGGGGGGGGGATTGGATAGGTTTCTGGAGGGGATTTTTTTCGGTTTAAAGGAGTTTGGCGGTTGGGCCGGCTTTGAGACCAGTTTCTAGAGGGTTGGGGATGGGAAGTTGGCCGGTTTTTAGCATGATTTGATCGGTTTCTTGGGCCAGGAAGCGGTCACATCCCTTCAAGAAAGGGATCTTGCGGTTTCTCAAAAACCGGCAAATTCTGCCCCTCAAAGCCGATTTAACCCGGGTCAAATCCCTGAAGGCCGGTGAGATCCGCCTTAAAATCGGTCGGGCAGAAAGTGATCAAATCCCCTCTAAAATCCTCCGCTTCAGGCAGCTAGAGGAGGGATTTTGGACGCGCGACATGGGAAATGATGTCAATAGATCGGTGTCCCGTTGGTTTCCCTTGTCAACCCCTTTGTTCTGGCCGTCGTCGTCGGTCCTCGCCGGTGTTGTCCGCTGGAAGCTTTGCCTCGTGCTTGGATTGTCACTGGTCACGCTTCCTTGTGGTTGGAGGTTGTTGGAAGGATCGGCCAGTTTGACTTGCAGCTGCAGTAACCTGGGAGCTCCATTTTTGAAAAGAGCGCGTTCCCCTTTCAGGTTAACTACCAACACGCGCGCCCTTTTGTGCCACAGAAATGCGCAGGTGTGGGCAACAGAGCACTTGCCTTTGCCTTTGCGCTTCTTGTGGTTTGGTAAAATGAGCGGCTGGTTGGGCCATGGCTCCTTAGGGGCGATCCAGACTTATCTCCGGAGCATGCGGAAGCTCCGCCGAACGAGGAGGACAGGGGTCGAGTCGCCGTTCACAGGGCTTTGCACAAATCCCAGTGGTTCAGTGGCACGCTCTAAATCCTTTTATTTGGTGGCATCCCCGCTAAAATTGGTCAACGATGAAGGTTTCTGGAAGGTTCCTTATTTTCGGTCGGTGAAAAGCAATAAGTTGCTCGGGTGTGTTGGTCCACTCCAAGAGCATAGGTCTTTGTTTTGTTGTCCTTTATAGCGATCATGTTTTTTGTTCCTGCCTGCGGCTCTTTTGCAGTCTGTGCAATGTCGGGGCATTACGTCGGCACCTGAAACAAAGTTGGGGGCCCTTCCGGGACAAAAGCTTTGGTTTCAGTTTCCGACAGGTTCCACCCAGGTCCAAAGTGAACACAGCAATTTTGGCTCACTGCAAACAGTTTGATGTTTGTTTGGACAATTGAAAGCCTCAACAACGGAATCCACATGGGTGCCCCTTTTCATTGGGGACCCTTCGGTTGGACGGGACGTCGTGACAGGCGGAGGCGGACCTGGAGTGCCTCGGTGCGAAGTGCGAATTGTGGCGGACCGGGGGACCTCTCAAAGCCTTCCATTTACTCCTTCGCATGGAACCAGACGTCCGGGAAATGGTCCCTTTAAAGAACAATGCTCCCGTCTAGGACCCCCCCGAAACGTCGTACCTGAAGTGTCCTAGGGGCAATTTGGGTACCAATTGACAGCCCCTGGTCCCGCCTTTCTATTTTACCTGTTTGATTTGAAGGGATTCTATCACTACCGGAAATGATGTCAATAGATCGGTGTCCCGTTGGTTTCCCTTGTCAACCCCTTTGTTCTGGCCGTCGTCGTCGGTCGTCGCCGGTGTTGTCCGCTGGAAGCTTTGCCTCGTGCTTGGATTGTCACTGGTCACGCTTCCTTGTGGTTGGAGGTTGTTGGAAGGATCGGCCAGTTTGACTTGCAGCTGCAGTAACCTGGGAGCTCCATTTTTGAAAAGAGCGCGTTCCCCTTTCAGGTTAACTACCAACACGCGCGCCCTTTTGTGCCACAGAAATCCGCAGGTGTGGGCAACAGAGCACTTGCCTTTGCCTTTGCGTTTCTTGTTGTTTGATAAAATGAGCGGCTGGCTGGGCCATGGCTCCTTAGGGGCGATCCAGACGCACCTCCGGAGCATGCGGAAGCTCCGCCGAACGAGGAGGACAGGGGTCGAGTCGCCGTTCACAGGGCTTTGCACAAATCCCAGTGGTTCAGTGGCACGCTCAAGTCCCTTTTATTTGGTGGCATCCCCGCTAAAATTGGTCAACGATGAAGGTTTCTGAAAGGTTCCTTATTTTCGGTCGGTGAAAAGCAATAAGTTGCTCGGGTGTGTTGGTCCACTCCAAGAGCATAGGTCTTTGTTTTGTTGTCCTTTATAGCGATCATGTTTTTTGTTCCTGCCTGCGGCTCTTTTGCAGTCTGTGCAATGTCGGGGCATTACGTCGGCACCTGAAACAAAGTTGGGGGCCCTTCCGGGACAAAAGCTTTGGTTTCAGTTTCCGACCGCTTCCACCCAGGTCCAAAGTGAACACTCAGCAATTTTGGCTCACTGCAAACAGTTTGATGTTTGTTTGGACATTGTTTGGACAATTGAAAGCCTCAACAACGCAATCGACATGGGTGCCAGTTTTCATTGGGGACCCGTCGGTTCGACGGGACGTGGTCACAGGCGGAAGCGGACCTGGAGTGGCTCGGTGCGAAGTGCGAATGTTGGCGGACCGGGGGACCTCCCAAAGCCTTCCATTTGCTTAAGAATACCGTCGCACCCTTTTCACATGGAACCAGACCTCCCTTTGAAAGGAAAATGCTCCCGTCCAAGACCCCCCCGAAACGTCAGGTTCCATGTCAATTGGGAGGGTATGTATTGATATGCTCCAGCGCCTTCCAAGGGTGGCTTTTCCATTTGTACCTGAAGTGCCCAAGGGTCAATTCTGGGTACCAATTAACAGGAATTGGGTTGTCCTTCTTTTTTTTTTTATTGTAAAGGCTTCGCGTTGCCTGCCTCGGCCAGTTCGATTTTTGCTGGCTTTGAGGTATACACCTCGCTTTAGTTTGCCTTGAAGTCTTGTGTTTACGTGAGCTGGTTTGTTTCATTTAGAGCGGGGGGTGCATGTTTGCGTGTTTCCATCTGGCTTGCCGGATTTGACAGGTTTCTAGAGAAGAGCTTGATCGGTTTCTACAGCTTTTTGGGGGGGATTGGATAGGTTTCTGGGGGGGGGATTTTTGGGTTTTAACGGATTTTGGCGGTTGGGCCGGCTTTGAGAGGGGGAATTTGACCAGTTTCTAGAGGGTTGGGGATGGGAAGTTGGCCGGTTTCTAGCATGATTTGATCGGTTTCTTGGGCCAGGAAGCGGTCACATCCCTTCAAGAAAGGGATCTTGCGGTTTCTCAAAAACCGGCAAATTCCGCCCCTCAAAGCCGATAAAACTCCGTTCAAATCCCTGAAGACCGGTGAGATCCGCCTTAAAATCGGTCGTCCAGAAAGTGATCAAATCCCCTGTAAAATCCGCTTCAGGCAGCTGGAGGAGGGATTTTGGACGCGCGACATGGGCCGCGGAGTCTATCACTACCGGAAATGATGTCAATAGATCGGTGTCCCGTTGGTTTCCCTTGTCAACCCCTTTGTTCTGGCCGTCGTCGTCGGTCGTCGCCGGTGTTGTCCGCTGGAAGCTTTGCCTCGTGCTTGGATTGTCACTGGTCACGCTTCCTTGTGGTTGGAGGTTGTTGGAAGGATCGGCCAGTTTGACTTGCAGCTGCAGTAACCTGGGAGCTCCATTTTTGAAAAGAGCGCGTTCCCCTTTCAGGTTAACTACCAACTCGCGCCCTTTTGTGCCACAGAAATTCGCAGGTGTGGACAAAGGAGCACTTGCCTTTGCCTTTGCGTTTCTTGTTGTTTGATGGGATGGGCGGCTGGCTGGGCCATGGCTCCTTAGGGGCGATCCAGACGCATCTCCGGAGCATGCGGAAGCTCCGCCGAACGAGGAGGACAGGGGTCGAGTCGCCGTTCACAGGGCTTTGCACAAATCCCAGTGGTTCAGTGGCACGCTCTAAATCCTTTTTTTGGGTGGCACCCCCCACTAAAAGTGGTCAACGATGAAGGTTTCTGAAAGGTCCCTTATTTTCGGTTGGTGAAAAGCAATGAGTTGCTCGGGTGTGTTGGTCCGCTCCAAAGCATGGACCTTTGTTTTTTTTTTGTCTTTGGAGCGATCATGTTTCTTTTCCTGCCTGCGGCTCTTTTGCGGTCTGTGCAATGTCGGGGCAAGACTTCGGCGTCTGAAACAAAGTTGGGGGCCCTTCCGGGACAAAAGCTTTGGTTTCAGTTTCCGACCGCTTCCACCCAGGTCCAAAGTGAACACTCAGCAATTTTGGCTCACTGCAACCAGTTTGATGTTTGTTTGGACATTGTTTGGACAATTGAAAGCCTCAACAACGTAATCCGCATGGGTTCCAGTTTTCATTGGGGACCCTTCGGTTGGACGGGACGTCGTCACAGGCGGATGTGGACCTGGAGTGCCTCGGTGCGAAGTGCGAATGTTGGCGGACCGGGGGACCTCCCAAAGCCTTCCATTTGCTTAAGAATACCGTCGCACCCTTTTCACATGGAACCAGACGTGTGGGAAATGGTCCCTTTAAAGAACAATGCTCCCGTCTAGGACCCCCCGAAACGTCAGGTTCCATGGCAATTGGTGGGAGGGTATATGTCAATATACTCCAGCACCTTCCAAGGCTTTTCCATTTGTACCTGAAGTGTCGTAGGGGCAATTTTGGGTACCAATTGACAGCCCCTGGTCCCGCCTTTCTATTTTACCTGTTTGATTTGAAGGGATTCTATCACTACCGGAAACGATAGTCAATAGATTTGTGTCCCGTTGGTTTCCCTTGTCAACCCCTTTGTTCTGGCCGTCGTCGTCGTCGTCGGTCGTCGCCGGTGTTGTCCGCTGGAAGCTTTGCCTCGTGCTTGGATTGTCACTGGTCACGCTTCCTTGTGGTTGGAGGTTGTTGGAAGGATCGGCCAGTTTGACTTGCGGCTGCAGTAACCTGGGAGCTCCATTTTTGAAAAGAGCGCGTTCCCCTTTCAGGTTAACTACCAACTCGCGCGCGCTTTTGTGCCACAGAAATTCGCAGGTGTGGACAAAGGAGCACTTGCCTTTGTGCTTCTTGTGGTTTGATGGGATGGGCGGCTGGTTGGGCCATGGCTCCTTAGGGGCGATCCAGACGCATCTCCGGAGCATGCGGAAGCTCCGCCGAACGAGGAGGACAGGGGTCGAGCCGCCGTTCACAGGGCTTTGCACAAATTCCACTGGTTCAGTGGCACGCTCTAAATCCTTTTTTTGGTGGCATCCCCACTAAAAGTGGTCAACGATGAAGGTTTCTGAAAGGTCCTTTATTTTCGGTTGGTGAAAAGCAAGAAGTTGCCCGGATGTGTTGGTCCACTCCAAAAGCCTGGACTTTTTTTTTGGTGCTTTGGAGCGATCATGTTTCTTTTCCTGCCTGCGGCTCTTTTGAGGTCTGTGCAAAGGCCGGGCAAGACTTCGGCGTCTGAAACAAAGTCAGGGGCCCCTTTCTGCAAGAAAAGCTTTGGTTTCAGTTTACGCCGCTGAGTTCCTGGTTTTTGTGGAAATCACGCTCACTGGCAAACAGTTTGGGGTTTGTTTGGCCAATCCACTTGGGAAGTGAGTTTCCTTCGAACTGCCATTTGGTTTTAGGGACCTCTCAGCATGTTGGTTTGTTTTTGTTGCTTTCCCTTTCAATCCATAGAAAACGGGAACCATCAAACATACGCAGCGGTTTAGAGGATGATGCTACGGCCCCAGCACATCGAACCGGATCGAATCTTATACAAAGTCCCTGCCAAGACTCAGCAAAAAGTTGGCTTTCCAAAGGTCAAGGGGTTACCCTCCCTCCAACAATTCATAGAAGCTGACAGCAGGGTTTTGGAAGACTATTTTATCTCTTGGGGAACCACTCTGTCCACTTGCATGGTTGAGGGAGGGTATTGATGCGTGTGGGCGTCAGGCTCAAGCAACCGATCCTTTTTAGCTTCTCACCATGGCGGACTTGGAAAATCAGGGCGTGGTTCAGGGTGTGGTGGTTCAGGGCAAGGTGATTGCCCCTTTGGATCAACCTGAGGCAGGCCCATCAAATCACGCGCATCACGCGCATGGGCATCACTTGCATCACGCGCACGCTGCGCGTCATGGGCAAGGGGCAAAGGGCAGCCCAGCGGAGGCCCCGGTGCCAGTTACGTTTGGATATGGAGAAGCAGCTCATGTGAGGCCGAGGCATGACCCTCTGGAAGTGGTACAGCTTTCCTGCAAGGATGCGAATTTGCCACCGGAGATCCGCCTCAACTTCGTGAAGAAAGTCTACGGCATCTTAGGCACCATGCTCTTGATCACCTTTGGCATCACCACGCCCTTCATTTTTGCGACCGCGAAGACTTTGTGGTTTTTCCAACAGAACCAGTGGATCCTTTACATCGTGGGTGGCCTGATGACGGCACAGTTAGTGTTCGACTTTTGTATGTTCTGCCAACTCTGCTGTGGAGGCTCAGGCCTCATCAGGCTCTACTATTCGATGATGAAGACGGCACCCTGGAACTATCTGTACATCATGACCTTCTCGTCGTGCTTTGGCGTGATGACCGGCTTTCTTTGCGCCTGTTACACCGCCCAGTCAGTGCTACTGGTCTTTGCACTGACCTTTGTGCTGGTGGTGGCGCTCACCATCTACGCTGTGAGGACACAGGCGGATTTCACTGGCTGGGGCGCCTACATCATGGTGCTGTTTCTGGGGTTTGGCATGGCAGTCTTGGTGTACTGCTTCTTCCCCAGCAGCCTGGTGTGGGACAAGATCATTGCCGGAGTTGGCGCAACGTTGTTCGGCTTCATCATCGTCTATGATACGCAGCTGCTGTTTGGCTCTGCGTCGGTGCACTTTCGAGGAGGAAAGAGGCACATCGAGTACACCATCGACATGTATGCCTTTGCGGCATGGAGTTTGTACCTGGACTTCCTGCACTTCTTCTTGTACATGCTCCGGCTCTTGGGGAAAAGGCGGTGATTCGAACGAACATGGTTGTTTGACGGCTTGTACAGGGCAGAACAACATGCCAAGCTGATTTTACATTTTGTTGGTCTCTATGTTGCATTTCTATCCTGGCATTTGGAAGTACTAACTCACATGAGTTTTACACTCTTTTTTGTACAGAGGGGTGGTGCAACATTCCTTTTCATATTGGAAAGCTTTGCATGCTTTAGACTGCCGTGTACAGCCAGCAGTCAGCCGGTTTGCCCAACGGCAGACGTCGCTTCTCGACTTTCGGTAGAGAAGTCGCTTGCCACTAGCAGATGAATATGTATATGTATATGCATAATATATATATATATATACATAATACATATATATATATATATGTATAGTATGTACACCCCCCCCAAGATCCACGCCCGAGTCTTGTTGCACAATCTTAGACAGAGTTGTTGCCTTCGGCTTTGAACCACTCTTTGAGATTTTTTTTAAAAAGCAGGCAGATGGTTTGGTCAGTTGAATTCGGCAGATGTTAGCGCAGGAAACCAGAAAACAGCGACCCAGGGACAGCCACGGGGACCCGAACGTAATTACCCCCTTTTTAGGGTTGGTTTCAAATGCAGTCAATCAAGGGGGGGTCTTGCGTGGTTTGCTAGGGTCTCGGAAAGAGCAACATGATGACTGAGCATCTGCTCCTATCACGGCTGGGGTTGGATTACTCAGTTGTTCAAAGCCGACCTTTTGACCTTTTGGTTTTCCCTTTTTGGTCTTTTTTTAGTAGAGGTCCCAAAAGGTTAACCTTTTATAAACAGGTCCTTTGGGCAACTGAGATTATACTCCCACCAAGCAACATGGCTGGAGCTCTAGGAGCCCTGGGAGAATGGTGCAGACTGGCACTTGTCGGCGCGCTCCGGCGAGAGCTTTGGCCGGGTATCGGGTATGGGGGCTGAGACTGGGGGCCAGTCTTTTTCTGAGGCTCGGTACCCTTTTCGGGTGTTTTACAGGGAAACTCAAAGTTCAAGCACGCTCAGGTCGACCCAGGATATGTTTTTTGCTGGGTTTGGGGTGTTTGGTCAGCCAGCCAGGTTTATGAATCCTGGGTTTCCATGAATCAAAAGGACCCCTAATACGAGTAGCAAGGGCCGCCGAAGTCCGAAGTTGGCACAGGGTTCCCTTTTTGGGGTTCTGACGCTCCCCGTTTGGGGGGTGGGGGGAGATGCCCACCCACCACTTTTTGAAATAACAAGAAGCAGTCGCCCTCATGAAAAGCCACTTTGGCGTGCTCTTTCAATCATTCAGAGGCTTGCCAACAGTCGAGATATTTTGACAGTGAAGAAGGATGCACTTGTACTTGCGTTGCTTCCCCTTTCTCACCGGCCATGTTGGTGCTGTGTGCTGAGACTTTTAAAATCAGGGACAGGGCCACGTGCCATATGCCAGCCACCGGTGGTAGAAGCTTTTGCTTGTGTCCTAGCACAAGGGTGCAACATTGCGCCAAAATGCACTAGCTTACGTTTGCCCACGGTCTTGGTGACCGGAAAGCTCCACTGGCAGCAATTTTGTCCAGCTGAATTGTTTTATCTCCCTGTTGTCAGATTGGAAGAGTTGTTGCCTTGCACGCGTGTGCGCATGCCACATGTTTGAGTGCATTTTGCTTCTCGTTGCTGGACCATCCAGCAAAAACCCGGCATGCGTGCGCACTGGCCAACAAAGCTCGAACAGTGGCTGCAGACTTTCTCGGCGTTGCGTCAGGCGAGTGCTCCGCGCGGTTTGGCTTCCTTAGTTTCCCTTTCCCGTGGCCCAATTTTCCGCCTTATGATACTGTCTTCGTCGCTCATAAGGCTGGTGAGAGTATGAATCGAACCACATACGCCAGGTGAAGCATTTTGAACCACTCAATGTGAACCAAAACCCAACAGCCTGAAGGGAAATATAGGGGCCTCCAGTCCAAATGAGTCCCCTCGACAAGGAGGGCAATCTTGCTCACCCCATCTTTGGATAGCGCACTGCTCAACTCACAGCCCAGGAGCTATGCAGCAGACGTGGCCGAACCGGCCCACCCGGCTGACGCGGCCGACTCAGACGACGCGGCCAATGTGGCGGCCGACGCGGCCGACGCGGCCGACGCGGCCGACGAGGCAGCGGCCGCGGCCGACGTGTGCGACGCGGACGCGGTGGGTGATGCGGGCGCCGCGGATGTTGCCAACGCGGCTGAAGGCCCAGGCGCAAGCTGAGTTTGTGTTGGTTGTGTTGCGATCCGTTTTTTTTTTTTGAAAGGATGATTCGACCAAAAAGGTTTTGCGTTGTGCTGGATCCAGCTGGCTGGATTCTGCGAACTTCTCAACTGGTTTTGCTGGGTTTCTTTTTGTGAACCAACCTAAAGACATCAATATGGACTAACCCCCTATCAAGGGACATCACCCACTACTGAATCCTTATCAATCATGGAAGATCATGGAAGTAGACAGGTTTTGGAAGGCGGCACTTCTCTTGATGAGTGATTTGAGTATTTTGACCTCCGGCAGTTTGGAACTGGTTTCCTTTTTGATGAGGGGGTGGTTGGTTCTTCCCAAATGGGGAACCCCTGGATATAAGTCTTCCTTGGGGCAAATAGAAAAGGAAACCCTGGTTTGGAAACCAAATCTGCAGTTTTCGGTGGCTCATTGAGAACATGCCCGAGCAAAGCACGGGCCAGGACACGCCCAAGCACTTGGACCTATCTAGCGGCACAAGACTCCTGAATGAACTAGGTCCATGGGTGATTGAGGTTTCTTGCTTTACTTGAAGACTCATCCGTCTGTGATCCCCAACTTTCAGCTTGAGCCGGCCTGTGAACTCTCACATCCCCAGGTCCGAAATGATTGGGCGCTGCTCAGGATTCGGAGCGCCCGAAGTGGCTTCGGCGTTCAACTTTTGGTTTCCCTGCAAATTTATTCCAAACAGGGGGTCTGTCGCCAAGAAAGACGAGGGACTCTCCGGGCAGACCAAATTTTGGGGGCAAAACGAAGCAGATGGGACTTGTTTGGCCGAGCCACTCGGGAAATTCCAGGGGTTCAAGGGCACCCTGAAACAGGCGAAGTGCAAGCAGAAGGCGAAGTGCCGGAGCCGGAGGCATCCAAGGCTGAAGTGCGGCACACAGCGCTGGTGTCAGCTCTGTTGCCCAGTGGTGCCTTTTTTTTCCCACTTCTTTTGGGCAAGGGTTCCCCGTCAAACGCAACCAACAAGAACAGGGAGTCCTGTTTTTCCCCATGGCCACTGGGCATTGAGTAGGAGTTTCTTACAATGACGTGAACAAGAAAAGCTTGCCCGGTTTCCACTGCCGCAGGTCTGGAAAGTGGAAGCGAAGGGCTTCCACACATTAGACCATACGTCTCCCCCCCCTTCAGCCCCCCGCTCCCAAGCACCCGGCCGATTTTCGGCGAGCCGCGCGCGAGTGCTAGGCGGAGGCGAGCGACGACGACTGGGGCGGATGGAGCTCGGGAGGCTTCACGGCCTCTGCGGAGGCTCCAGGCCCGGGGGTTTTCCCGGGCGGGGATGGAGGGATGGGGTGGGATGGGGGGGATGGGAGGGGTGGGGGGGGATGGGGGGATGGAGAGATGGGGGGATTGGGGGGGATGGGGTTGGGGGGGGTGGATGACGGGTAAGGGGGTTGGGGGGTGGGGGGGGATGGGATATGGAGGGATGGAAAGAGAGGAGGTGGATTTGACGTTGGTCCAGGTGTCACAAAAACATATCTCCGTGGGGTTCAGACATTTTTACCCCACACAAATCCTCCTGGAAGAGATGTTTTTTTCTGTCGGCTTTCAGGGAAGAGGAGCTTCCTTTCCAGCCTTGCACCACTCGAAGTGCGCTTCCTCGGAATGGCTGCATCGGCAATAGGAGGCGAACAGATACGGGTGGTGTTTCTGTTCCGGTACCGTTCATTTTGGTTGCGGGGCAACCCCTAAGGTATAACCTTGGCTTGCCTCCTGCCATTTCCTGCCCTGCTAGTCAGTTTCCGCAAATTAATTGGTTTTAGATGATTGACGGATTTGTTCCCTTTGCTGGCATTGGAATTCATCTGGCTTAAGAGGATGATGATTTGGTGGTTCCCTTGTTGGCATCAGATTTGCGTTGCCACTGGTCACGGGGAACCCGGATGAATGAGCTCCTGGCTGATCAACAGAGGGCTTTCCCATTTTGGAGGGAAATTAATCTGGAAATCCCGGGGTCAACATGGCGTACAGCTGTTCACATTTGGGAATGTGCCCAAAGTCCACAAAGGTTCCCTGGTTAAGCACTCTCCTATACTTAAACTACTCTGCACGCACTTGCGCCGTGGCTTTTCTCTATGTTCTTTGGGAATCCTTCGGATGCTTTTTGAAATCCTCAGCAAGGCACCATTCATTATTCTTCAACAGCCCAAGCAAGCATGGCGTTTGCAAAGGAATTTCATTTGTAAACCAACATGCCTGCCATGCCACTACGCCAAGATAATTACCAAAGCCGGCTCACTGCAACTTGAATCGATTCTCGAGGGTCGGATGCCGTTCCCGGTGGCCGGTTTTCAGCGTCCCGGGTTTCCGCATTTTCCCAGGTGGACGGCCCCTGGGCTACGGAGGTGGCAGCTACTGGCGCGAGCGCGGGGCCCCCGCAAAGTGGCGAGAGCGCAGCCGGAGTCGCAGCGCAAGGCCGGTGTGTTTTTTTTTCTCCATGGGGAATCAGGCAACCCCTCTTTTCTCTTGGAGGGACACCCCAAGTTGAAGGTTAATTAGTGTGCGAGGGGGGGAAATGGGGATTCGGAGTGGTCGTTTGGACTTGGTTTTGAAGTCTTGGCAGTTGTGGAAGTGACAAGCCACCCAACCTCCACATAACCAAGTCCAAACCACCCAGTAAACAGAGGCTGAAATAAAGCTAAGTTTCACGTCCAATCACCTCCTGTTCAAGCTCGAGGCCGGTTCAATCCAACCACCTACGAGTTTCTTGGGGCCTTGGCGGCAAATCATGGAACTTGACCTGCGCTGGGCTCGTTGCAGGCCAGATGAGACCCCGGACTACTGGCAGCTGAGGCACTGGTTTCAGTCGTCAGCACCAAGTGTCAAAGAAAAACTAGCAAGCTCCCGACGCTTGTTGCGCGTTGGCTTGCGGTTTGCGGGCCATCCAACCGCTGTAGCAAGTCAACCAACAAGTGTCATGCCCAACGACCCGACTAGTGCCCTGCCCAACATTGGCAGCTGACCCAGTTGGCCGATGGGACGTTTTGTTGTTTGTGTTTTTGTTCTGTTTGGTTTTGCTTGTCGTTGTGTCGTTTCTGTATGTTTCTATAACGAGTCCTTTGTATTGATTCAGGGTTCGTCCACCTTTACAGTAAAGCACAGCCACAGACCTGTAGGTTGGCACTCTCGATTGAAAGGTCTATGGTTGGGGCGCTTGTTGTGAGTGCAGCTGAGCACCAGTCAATTGCTGTAACCTACGGCAGTTTTGAAAGCGGATGACGTGGGGCACTTCTGAGGTTGAGGAAGGCCTAAAGGAAAACCATTAGCCACACTCGAAGATTTTGCAGGTCCCACTGTTCATTGCAACGTAGAGTTGCTTGGGTTTAAACGGACCCTTCGTCGCTCTTGTGGCAAACTTGGTTTCAGGGCGGCTTTTTGTGAGAAAGTGTTCTCCTTTCAAGTGGGTATGGGTCAAAATTCAACCACCAGGGGACAGCAGGTTTTAGTCCTTGGTTCCATTTACCCGTGACCCACAGCCAAGTGATAAAGTTGTGGGCCCCCGCTTTGGTACGGATCTCGATGGCTACTTCTCGCCCCCGGCCGTCCGCCCAGAGGCTGCGGAACGTGCCTGAGAGCTACGATGAGGCCATGGTGCAGGCATCCGTCGGAAGGGGAGAGTTGGAAGTCCCTTTCTGGTTGAAGTGTGCGATCAATGGAAGTGTCCCCGGATCAAAATCTGCCAGGGGTTCAGTACTCCAGGATTCCCAATACCCCTACCCCGCAATCCTTGGGCCCCAACAAAGCCCTTTTCGGCCAGGTTGAAAAGTCACATTTCAATCGTTAGCTGAATTGGAGGATGCCCTTGTCAAGCAAGATATTTTGGGATGTATCTGGACCAGCCTGAACACTGTCTTTTGAGCCATGTTCATTTGAGCTAGCTTTGAGTGTGGCAATGTTTGAAGGGACATGTAGGAACTCCTTGGCGGTTTTTTTTTCCGGTTTATCAGTTTGGGGTGCATCCAGGGTATCTGTTTGTTCAGGGCCTCCATTTTGCGAATGCCAATGGATCGCAACGGGAAACACCCAGTTTGTGCCACTTCCCGTAGTTTGAACAGCAACACCATGCACAATGTTTCGTCTGACTGCGAGAGTTGCTCCTGAAAGCTCCTGTTTTGACTTGATTCGGTCGAAGGTTGGATTTACCTGGTGCTCCAAGGCCCGGATCTTCGAAACGAACTCACGATGGACAGGGCTCCTGAAAAGAAACTGTTGCAACCATTTGAGTTACATGTGGCCTTTTTAAACAACAAAATGGAAGGGGAAACCACCATGTACAGGGCAATGTTCAGGTGTTTTTCATGTAAGGATCCCTGGTGGAGGAGCCGCAATCCCAAAGGGTTTTGGGGTCCTTGACGCTGGCCCAGTGGGCCGAAAAGCAACTTTTCGGCTGTTGGGGAATACTCGCCGAAAGGCGGAGAACAAGTTGAGCCTTCATTCTTTTCAGAGGGTATGTGTCAAAGTGGGGATTCGGACCCCACCATTTCAAACTAGATTTTGGTTTTCCTTGGTTACGCCAAGCCTAAAAGGGGGTACCCCCCAAACCGCACACCCAAATCTGACAAAGGTGGAACATTTTTATTTGTTTTTCGGCCAATCCACTCAGGAATCAGCTAACCCCGAATTCGTGGTTGTGATTTGAACTCTGGTTCTAGAGGGTACATGGTTTCCCCACCCCGCCAAGCACCGCCGGGCAAACGACAAGCGGAGGAGCTGCTTGAGTTCTGCGGCCTGGATTCGGAGTCCCAGTCGACGCCGCGCCTCGGTTTGAGAGTCCGTCGGGGGTGCTTCGGAAGTTTCCGGTCAAAATCCGCGGGGTCAACGGTTTGGGAACGGAGACATCCTTGGCCTTAAATGATACGCGAGAAAAGGTGGGACTCCTGGGACTCCTAGGTTTAGGCTAGAACGTTCACCAAGGCATGGGTCGGGCCCTTTTTGGATGGTGTCAAAGTGAAACCAAAAGGAAGCCCCCCCGTTTTGGAGGTTTTCCTAGTTTGAGCACGCACAGAGGAGCGGGCAAGCTTGGCTGAGGTATCGATTTCCATGGCTTTCTAGAATTGGGTGGGGCGTATTATTGTTATTCATGGCGCTCTATTGGATTTTTGTGGTATCTATGTCGGGCATTCATGTGTTGTCTTCCATCTAAAGAGGTCTTGTTGGTGTTTAACACGAGGTTTCCTGTGGTTCCTTTGGTGGGTGTTCCCCCCCTTGTATCACAAGATGTTACAAGCCCACTGAGAAGTTTTTTTTTGGCAAGGACGGCCACTGCCTGGCTTGAGTTGCACATGTTCGACATGATCAATAATGTAAACTTTGGATAAATCTGGCGGAGCACAGTGGTCACACACAGCAGAGCAGGTCTCTGACAAGTCTGGCCCTCCGGATAAAATCCAGCAGCCAGACGATGACTCCCCCCCCCCCCGGGAAGGTGTTTAGCAAGATTCTCCTTTGGCGTTCTTTTTCGGGTGATCCCTCCAATACCACAAGTTCCCACGGCAGGGAGTGGCCGCCCATGAGCCTCTTTCCAAGAGGAAGGTAGCCTCTCCAGCGTTAGTCTGTGTTAGTCCGTTGGAGGGTAAGTTTTGCAAGATGCCCCGTGCGTGTTCTGTCTTGGGCGATGTCTCCGTATTCACAGGTTCCCGCCGTGAGCGGCGCGGACTTGATCGGTCTTACAAGTTGGTGCTGCCAACCAGAGACTCCACGGAAGGAAGAGCAGGGGAAATCCCCCCAAAAAGCGCATCCAAGCCGTTTTCTAGAAGCGCGGCCTCCATCGGTGTCCTTTTTGGTTGTTTTGGTCAAAAAATAGATGGGTTCCCCTGGCTGACCTGGTGGTTGAAGATCATCTACCAGGGAAACCCATCTATTTACCCTAAAAGGACACCTCTGCCGAGGAGCGCCGGGAGCTTCGGGCCAACTGCGCCGGTGGCGAGTGCGACACACTTCCAGCTGCAGCTGGCGGACCAGGAGCCGCTCGGAGGAGCTGCATGGGAGGTGTCGGGGGGGGAGTCTTATGAGGTACGTCAAATTGGGTGGGTGCGGGGGTGGGTGGGGGTAACCGGGTACCCTCCCACCAAAAATGTCACCTCGCAGGTTTTCTGGAAGAGGAGATTTGGATTTTGGGGGGGTATGTTCTTTCCACAAATGCTGTCTTGGCGGGAGGAAGGGCAATTGGGAGGGCGCATGTTTTTGGTTTGGACTATCATCCGCAGCCAGTGGCTCGTTGTGTTTTTAGGGGTCAGGGAGAGCGAAGGGGCATGAAAGGGCTTCGCGTACGTGCGCGGTGAACGACAACAGGAGGTCTGACATGGATGGTCAGAGTTTCCAAATTGGGGGTACGTTTTAGAACTTGGTGTTAGCAGCACGTCCCAACATGTCCGTCTGCTGTTCTTGTTTTTTCTTCAAGCTGGGGTTTCAAGACAGGCTGTCCAACGTTTTGGCTTTTGAACTGACCTCCAGATCAACCCTGTTTGCAACACCGACCCCCATGACTAATCTAATTATCAAGAAACTGGCTTTGATGACAGAATGGGGCCAGTTCCCCAACCCCTCATTCCCACCCACCGGATGGAAGCCCGAATTTTCCTCGGATGTTTGTTCTGTTCCGATTGCTCAGATCCGCGCAACAAAAAACAAGAGCGCACAAAAAGCATTCCGAGGCTGGCGGAGAAGATGGCGGAGGCGTTGCAAGGCAAGCTGAAGGTTGCCCAAAGTGCGTCGCTGGCCGTGTCTGGGGCATGGCTTTTAGGGTAGACTGCATACAGGACCCAGCAAAATTGTGGTTTTGCTCATGGTTTCCCTTCACAACCCCATAAACAAAGGGGTACCCCCCAAGAAAAACGACAGCCCCAGACATGAAGCATCCGCAAAAGTCCACTTGGTGAAAGCCCGGACTGGGCCACGGTGCCCGCCCCCCCCCCCCTGTAAGGCCAGCCGCTCTCCGATGGCTTGGACCAAATCTTCCACCTGGAGGTCGCTCCGGGCTCTCGGGCTCTTGGGCGCTCGGGCTCGATGGCTTGAGCTGTTGACGGGGACAAAACCTGCGGATCCCTGGCTCTTAGATTTTGAGCCACACACAAATGAGAGGCATTCCTTTGGTTTCTGAGAGGACCATCAAACAACGCAGCCCCAATCATTCAATCGATCGGTCAATGGACATTACTCAGGTGTCTTCCAAGCATAGTCTGATGTTCTGGGGCCTAGGGTAGACTGAATATGAAGCATATCCATCATAAAAAATACACATCGTTTTGTGTGTTCCCCAGATGCGGGCCAAGATCTCCCCTTTTCAGGCACTGTCAAATTGCCCTTTCTTTTAGTCGCCAAAACGTCTTGGGTTCCACATGTGGGACCTTTTGCAATATGTCAGGGACTCGACTCAACAGGTAAGGCCTTGTATATTTGGCCTTATGCTTCCTGAATGAGGCTTTTAACCCTTGTCCCTTGGGGGCGGTCTTTTGGGGTGTGTCTTTGGATCGAGGGAAGTGGCTCCCTTCTGTAGAATGGCACCTTGAAGTTAGAAGACGCTTCTTTGTGGTTTGCTCAGACGCTCGTGCGCCTCTCATGGTTACAAGTGGGCGTTTGGTTTGCTCTCAGGCGGAGGCGGTGGGCTGCAAGAAGCGCCCAGAGGACCGCGACAATGCTCATCATGCAGCCGCTCATTCAAGCGAGTGATGGGACGCCCGAGGGGTAGTGCTGAGGGATCGCTGCATTTCCCTGTTGACTCATCACATGCTCGTTGCCAATCTTGATTGAGCTTCCCTTGAAGGAGATGTCGAACGGGGGAAGATGAAGGAAGCTCAGTGCAAGGCTGTTTGCGTTCATATGGCTGTGGGTCAAGATCAGTTGTACCATTCTGGGGTAGGTGCACCACCCATTTTAGTCTATTTTAGTTGGGATTGAGATGTTCACTGGGGGTACGAGATTTGGCACTAGGTGGATCCCAGGGTTGCGCTTTGGTTTGAGCCGAACCACCGATTGCTCAACGCGAGCCACGTTTGCAGATCGGTTCCACCAGCCCAGCTAGTGTTGGAAAGAGAAGCCGGGTGGCTTAACCCCCTGGCTGATGTTGATTGGGGCTATCCCATTTGGTGGGAATCCTTCACTTTTGTGGGTGACACCTGATTTGGGGTCAAGATTACACTTGTGGGAAGACCTGAACAAGTGGCAAACAGCAACTTCACGTTTGTTTTTTGGCCAATCCTTTGAGGAGAGTCCTGGAAGGTGCAGAACCGGAGAGCCGACACACCCCTCGCTTCGCGAATGACGCGTCGAGCTGAGGGCAGGGCCTGGTGGCAGCGGAGGAAGCGCGACTGGGAGCCGCCTCCGCAGCCGGAGCAGCGGCAAGAGGAGCAGCACAAGCCCTGGGTGCCTGGGTTGCAGGTGGCACGGTGCCGATGTTTCGTGGGGTTGGAGCGATTCCAGCGAAAAAAATATCAGGGAGGAGGGGGGACGAGTCAAAGTCTGAATGATGTAGGTCCTTTACTTGGGGATCCGATTCTTATTTCAGGTTTTGGAATTATTGTAACAATTAGGTGCTCCACTGTTTGTTTTTGCCATGGTCAAACTACACCCTGTACTTGAGGTGGGAATGGCCAGCGTCATATCGAACCAAACACACTTGTCAGCTTTTGTTGGATTATTGGATGTTATTGAGGGGAGCCCAAAGAAAGCCCAGTCTTTGGTGGGGTGCACAGACCCGTACTGGAAAATGATTGGAGCAGTGAACACATGACACCATGCGAACTAAACCCTTTGGAGGGGTAATCCCTTCTCCTCTAAATAAGGTCCCCTGCTCGTATAGACAATGTTTTCCAAACATCAAAAGTCGCCGATACTAAACTTGAAACAGGCCAAAGCTGAGCTTTTGTCGGAGCTAGCGATGTCTGACTCCAAGTGGTGGCGTTTTTGGGGACGGCCAGAAAAGGTGGGAGCTTTTCTGGGGACACAAGAGACTGATTAGGAAGGAACCGGACCCCCTTACAATAAACTCAGTTGTTCAAAGCCGACCTTTTGACCTTTTGGTTTTCCCTTTTTGGTCTATTTTTAGTAGAGGTCCCAAAAGGTTAACCTTTTATAAATAGGTCTTTTGGGCAACTGAGTAAAACATATTACACCGCTTCCCATGTGTTTGGCTCGCGGGGACCCTCCTGTTTATGATAGAGGGGAAGGGATTACCGTGCCACTGGGTTTTGCTCCCTAAAATATGATATGAAATTGGATCATCGAATATGAAGCCGAATCTAGAAACATGAGGTTTGGATTGGACCAAGTCGGGGTAGATCTTTTTTCAAGGATGCGTCATGGCAGACTGCTTGTAACCATTTGGAGGGGTCCCAGTCTCGCTTTTCAAGTTGCCTAAGGCCTCAAAGGGTCGAGTTCGGAGAGTTTGTCTGGCTTCACTTCAACTGCAATGAAACATGGGTCTCCCAAATAAGGCGCACCCATGTTGCAGGGCGGCTGTTCTTTTCACTCCGCGAGGTGTCAAAACAGACAGGACACCCCCCAGTGTTCAGCAAGGGGGGCGGATGACAGTTGATGTCTTCTGACTGGACAGAGTTGCTCCCCCAAAGACGAACCTTGTAAAGCTACAAATGGGTTTGTCTCAAAATCAAGAAAGAACAACGGCAAAAGGGTGGTTTCCCAGCCATGTCCCGCCAAAACCACAGGCCCAAACTTGAAGGAGCACGACTCAGCGCCTCGAATTCCCGCATGTTCGGCTCAGTTTCCCTCGGCTCAGGCGGGGCTCTTCGGCACTTTGGAGGAAGAGCCGCTGGGCGGAGGCTGCCAATCCCCTGGCTGAAATGGCAGGGGGTCACCAATGGGATCCCATTTTGGGCAATTTTGGGTAGGTGAATTCACCACTCATCTTAGAACCCATTTTAGTGGGGATTGGGAGGTTCACAGGGGGTAGGGGATTTTGACCCATGGCCAAATGGCCAAATGGCCATGAATTTCAATAAGGAGCCACCTCAAATGTGTTTGGTGGACATACATCCCCACCTAAATGGTGTCCACCGCACAGCCCTTTATTAGAATTCACATCCCGATGGGTGCCGCTGCCGTGCTAAGTCTTTACAAGGGTTCTGGGCAGTCCATGTCCCGCTACGGGCCCGGAATCAAAACTGAAAATCCAGATTGACAATGGGTTACCCATAAAAGAAACACTGATCAAACACAGATCGTAGAGGAAACTCCTTTTGGGAAGTGGGCCCCCCTCTTTGGGTTCCATTGTGTTCAATTGTTAATTGGCAGGGGAGTATCCGCCATCTGAGTTCTTTGCATCTTCCATTTTGCTGAAATACATATCTTGGTTGTTTTTCCCTGGTTGTTTTAAAGGGAATCGATTTCACCACTGGACACACTGTTCACATTTTTTCAGATGATTTGGGTAGACCACATTAGTACCGTTTTTTTGATTATAACTTGGGTGTCAAGGTCGAAGAGGCTTCACATCCCCTACCCCAATCAAAGCATTCTTGACGAGGCGGTGAGTTGGTTTTCCTCACGCAGGGTATGTACTTGGGTGTGGTGTGTTAAGTGTTGCCGGGGTTGAAGACCAACCCGGTTTTCATCGGACGCGCCAGTCTTAGCGGCTAAATTCCTGTGCCCTTCAATCACGGTTTGGGCTTGCAGCTGAGGACCAACCACGTGGTGGCAGGCAGGGCAGGGGTCGACTGTTGGGTGACACAAGGAAGCGTGCCCCAGACACGGTGATGCCCTTTTTTCCTTTTCGTTTTTTTGGGGCACCCAAACAAGGCTTGATTTAGAGAATCGTAGTCAGGGACGGTACCCCTTTAAAGGCCAGGGTTTTTTCGGGTCAGCTGTGCATGCCTCAAGGGTCCCCAAGGTCCCCGCAACATGTCGTGGTGTTGTCCACGCCTGCAAATAGGTTGCCCATTGTACACCCGTGCCTCTCTGAAACATTTGCAAGTTTGGAGCGGCCGACTGCTAGTTTTTTGTTCACAAGCCCTTACATGGGTGCCTGGTTTGCAGGGTACCCTTGTTGGGGTGGTTCACAAAAGTGAAGCCGTAATTTTTGGAGGTGCCCCCACTTGGAGACAAGCCCACATGGGCTTGCTTCCTACGTCCATGAAATGGGGCTGTCTTTTTTGAGGATACACCTGTTTGGCCTGCTTCAAGGGTAGACAAAGCAAAACCACTTCTTTTTTGGAGGGGTCCTAAAAAACGACTAAGCCAGACCCAAATCTCCTTCCTGGGGGAACACGGGGTCCACCGGGGTTTACCTTTGGGTAGCCGGTCAACCCTTTGGGTTTGCGCGTTGCGGTTTGGGGGGAAAGCCGCGCGCATCCGCACGCCCATCGCCTCGCAGGGGTCGTGAAGGTCTGGCACAGCGACAAGGGCTGGGGCTTCGTGGCCACCGAAGCCTCTGGAGGCTTCGGTTCCGTGGCCTCCGCTTCGGTTCGGAGGGGCCTGGGTGTTTTGTTTTCAGGGAAACCAAGAGGGAACCACCCGGTTGGTTGAGAAACACCCCTTTGCAAAATCGCAGAGGTTCGGCTGGTTTCAGCTTGGTTCGAGTTTCATTTACTAAAAGCGGAATCCATCTGGTCCAAAAGTAGCGCTGTAGTTGTTCTTGCGAAGGGCTGCGGGGGTCGACTTTTGCTTAGGAACGGCACTAATTATCACTCGTTCATACCTTTGCCAGTGAGGTTTTCTTGAGTTTGTCATCAAACTGTGCTTCGTTTTTAATGTCAGACTTGACCTTTGGAATGTACCGTCATCACAAGCAGGATTTGAAGTTGCTATTGCCTCGGGTTCCAAGTCTCTCCTTATTCTTGCCTTTCTTGAAGAGCAGCTAAAGGCATGCCATGAAACGGGGGGGGTGAGATCAACGCCAAGGCTTAGCAGCACCCAAATGTGTTTTGGTGGCGTTGGAGATCGCGATTGGCCAGCTCCGGGCAGGTGGAGACCTTTTCCTTCACAAGAACCAGCTGGTGGGGGAGTTGGCTGACACCGTGCAGCACCTCTCGCGCAAGCCGGGTGTGATGGATCCAGTCCTGCGGTTAAAGCAAAGGGGGCCTGGCCCCAAAGAGCGCCTAAGCGGGGCAAGGGCTCAATACAATGATACTATTCTAGGGGGTGATTCCGATTCCATTCTTTTCAACCATCGTTCTTTTCAAAAACGAGCCATTTCCCCAGGGTTTCTTGTGGTTTTCTAGAAAGAAGGATCCCTGGAAAGAATGGGGAAGTTACCCCCAGAACTATGGCTCAATACTAGGATACTATGGATGGACGAAATTCGGCACCTGTTGGGACAAAACAAAATTGCGAACTGGCATAGGAGTTTGTCCACAGGGCCGAATAGGTCATAGGGTCCCCAATCCCAGCACAGGGCCGGGGTAGGCCTAACGCAAGACTCACAAGTGCCGTAGGACCCTTTTGCTTCCTGTACCTACTCAATGGCCCTACAACCCCCCAAGTGTCCCCCTCGGTCCCGCCCAAAAAGCCCCACCACATGGGATTCCTCTAGAACTGGCTTTCAGGGGTGAGCTGCAGGGGAGAATTCGGAGTGCCACTTGTTCGGACTCAGAAGGGAAAATTGATTTAGCCCACTCGGACCGCACGAACGGAGCATCTGGACATCCTTCTGCCCATTTGTGCGACGTGCTGGGGGCAAAACGAGCTTGCTATGTAAGGTTCTTTAACTGGGCGTCCCTTGTTTCGGGCTTTGGACGTTTTATAAGGCTTGCAGATCATACAGCCATACGCGTGATATGTAGCTTGCAATACTGTCCCGCCGTGCCCCTGCTTGTATGGCTGCCAGAACAGGATGTACTGTTTCCGTTTTGACTTCATGAGGCTTCAATGAGGAGAACAAAGTCAGATCGACGTGTTTCAGTTCAAGTCAACTACATATATGGTATGTACCAATACCAACATTTGCCTCAAACAGTTCAGTGATGGTGAGCTTCCGAACAAAACTCTGGTTCAAGATCAATCCTCAAGCCTTGCTGTTGGCCCGCCGTCCGTTAAGCGGGCGCGACGCTGTCGCCCCTCACACGTGCCTCATTCGGAATCGAGGCAGGGCGAGGAGGTCTTTTGCGTCGTCCAGAAGAAAGAGGATCAGCTCTCAAAGTGGAAGCTTGGCGGCATGTTTCACGTGAAAACGTGACCTCTCCAGTTGTTCAGTGCACCCTTGTCCCGTTTTCATTTGCTTTGTTTGGGTGCTTACTAAGAAGTATGAACCCTAGAAAGGAGTTCCCTTTTTGTACCGGGGTCACTGGGCAACTGGGCCTTTTGACGTTTTTCTTTCTGCCAGTGGTTCAATGTTCTTCTTCAAGGTCAAGGTTGCAAACAAGGCTGCAACCGTGTTTTCCTTTTAACCTGGAATGAACATGACGATTCTGCACTACTTTTGTTGGTGCGAAAGCTCATCGAGCTTCATCTCCAGGTTTGTTCTGCAAGTGATGCCACTCAATTTTCCGGCGGTTGAACTTGTAGGGACAGGTGCAGCTACCCTTTTGACTTCTTACATGGAAGGATATAATTCGCAACACAGTGGATTCAACAAGTTTAAACAATGGCTTGCCCCTTCGTTTCATGAGTCATGGACTTTAAAATTTATTTTGGGAAGACCGGTCTAGTGTCAAACGAAAAGTTCAAACTTTTCTGACTTGAAACTTCTTGGGAAGCCCCATTCTAGTGGCAAACGACAAGTGAAACAAAAACAACTTTTCTGACCAATCCACTCGCGAGCTGCTCGCGGGGTGAGCGGGCCAACCGGCCAACCGGTTGTGGTGCAACGGACCGAGGAAGAGCTGCAGCTGCAACGCCGTGAGCGTGGTGCCTGTTGCGGGGGAGGAGCCCTCCGAGGATGTCTTGGACTTTGGGAAGAAGTGGCCGCATGTCCAACAAATTGGCGGAGGAGAAGTGGCCCATGGGCGTCCTTTTTGGCTGTTTTGGTAGAACAAATAGGTGTCTGGTTTACCTGGTGGCTTAAGCATCTACCAGGGCCATCTATTTCCCCTTAAAGGACACCTATGAGAAGGCCCTGGTCTGGGGTTCAGGTACCATGAGATTCAACGGTTTGGGTTCAGGTACCACCACTAAAACCACGGTTGGGTTCAGTTACCACCATTAAAACGATGGTTGGGTTCAAACAACCACCAAAATCTACCTAAGGATTGTCATCATCCAACTTGGGTGAAGTATTCTTTTCATGGGGGTTGAACCCTAGGGTTCTGTCCACTAACATGCAACCCACCAAAAATTCCTTTTCAAGGACAATTGTTTTCCGGCACCCTCAGTCAGGTACCGGGAGGGCATGGTTTTGTTCTCAGCTGTTGGTTTATCACTATTCTGACTATATTTTATTTCCAAGGGACTTAAGAAAATGGATGGCGACGTTTTGGGACCGGGCCATCGTTTTCTGAGATGTTCGGATCGGAACGTGGAGGTGAAGCTTTCATTCTATACCACACAATTCTGTCTTAGCCCAAAGCCATTTAGTCCTGGCCCCAAAGGGTAAACCTTTTATTTCTAGGTCCTTTTAGCAAATGAGAGATGGGTTGATTGGGGCCGAACGGATCAAATGACGCTTCCTGTTTTCGGGCCGGGCTGGGTTACAGGATCCGGTTCTTCTCAGGAAAGAACGGAATGGGCTTTTCGGCCAAGAGGGGTAAGCCAACTTCTCAAAGGCACGTCACCCCCTTGTCTGGTGTCTTCAAACATATTTTATAGTCCGCTCCCCCTATTAATGAATGACCCTCATTAACAATAAAGGCAAATCCGGGGCCCGAGACCAGATTTCCACTCCGCACAATTGATTTTCCATTGCGCCAATACTAAACCAATACTAAAGTCTTGGAATCCTTATTAGGGGGCACTTTTAACAAGCTTCCAGCCCCAATCCTAATTGGGTCCTTTATTCGGGTGGTGTCCCTCAAAAGAAAACATGTCCCCAAAAGCTGTCTAGCTGCGACTGTCTCTCTCCCGTACATGCTGGCTAATTAATTAACCTGCCTGGCTGCAAACAAACAACCAGTAAACTGAAAAACAAATGGAATGATACATACAATTTCCTTATTAAACCGCTTACTCGCGGACCTTACAATTCAATCCATTTCCTCCAAATCCTATGTGAACCCTCACATTGTTGGAAAAGCAAAACAAAACCCAATTCCGAAAACCCCATTTTTTTTTTTTTTTTTTAAAAAAACTATTTTTGGGGAGGATTTTTTACTAAGGGGGGGACCCGTATTTATTAATAGGGGGAAGAGATTATATCGGGGTTGACTTGCCCGAACTTTTTTGTATCGCGGGGCGTGCAGAAAGTCCCAACCTGCCACAGACCCCAAGGAGAAAGGGCTGCGGAGTTTGGAGCATGCGTGGAAAACACATGCACGCGCTTGTGAAATCGTTTGAATCTAAGGGACGCATCTTTGTGAGACAGAGAGTTCCGCGTGTTTTTCGCGGAACACGCTGTTTGGCAGGCTACGCCCTTCATTGCCAAATTGGGCCGTGATCCGCAAATTGTACGGGGGAATTAGGCGAAAAAGCCAGGTTCAAACAAAGCAAGCCCCGAATCTGCCTTTTTGAGAGCCAAAAACTCCAATCTGAAGCGTCCTTGCTTTGGGTGACTGTGCAAGTGCTACGGGAAGACCGCGCAACTTCTTTCGGGTTTGTGAATGACACCCCTTTAAAGTCAATGTGGGCTGGTCCAAACGGGGGATCCCCACCAAAAGTCTCTGAGGGGCTTATTTGCAGGGAGTCGAGCGTTTTAAACCGGATCAGACCCATTTTTCCTGGGGGAGAAGCAGCCAAGGAAGCTCAGGGACCACGTGGTCGTGTGGCTCAGCAGGCGAGTGCCAAGCGCTGTGCAGGGCACATTCTTTGTAACGAATCGCAGGAGCTGAATCATCCTAAATTTGAGACCCGTCCTATTGTTGTTTGGGCACAAAGGGGCACGCCTGAAGCGTATTCTTGACACTCACTTTTCTTTAGTTTAGGGGTTCTGTTCATTTTTAGTGGGGGCGGCTTAAAGCCCAGATTTGGTTACCCATACTTGTGTGTTCGGCCACTGTTGGTAACCTAGGTTATACTCAGAGGCCCCCTAAGAGGAACGAACCCAGTTAGGGTTGGCCAGCCACTTACTAACTTGGCACCGAACATCCAAGTACCCATACTGTGGATGGACAAACTCCTGCACCAGTTGGTACTGTGTCCAACCCAGTAGTTTTTTTTGGGGGGGTTCAATACAGTGTGTCCAAAATCCTGCCAGGTTGGTGCTTGGTCTATCCTATTGTTTATGGGGTTTCATTGATCCCGAGGTGGTGGGAAGTGGATTTCGTCGTCGGTGCCAAGGTTTCACACAGCCGAGTTTTCTTCTCCCAGGCTGCCTGCTCGCTGCATCGGCGCCGCGCTGAGGGCGGAGCTGGACCAGCTGGGGGCCCAGAAATCGCATCGGTCCATTTCAGACTAGGTCCCCCAGTAGTGCACTTGTACCGTTTCTTTTTTTGGGGAGGGTTCCTGTAAAATAGACGACAGAAAAAAGGGTACCCTGATTCTAACCTCTCTACTGGAGGACCTAGCAGAGGAGGAGCTCAAACTGGGGTTGATCCAACGGTCCGGGAAAAGCATGGGATGGCCATTGAAGTGGAAAACCCACGAAAGCACGATTTGATACATGTCCCACTCAAGGAAAAAGTGACTTATGGTTGTTTGGGGGCCAGGAATATTGATCACCCCCCAAACAGGGAACCCGCAAAAATTGTGGTGTGCCTTTGGTGTTCCTGAAAAAACCGCCCGGATAAGGTACAGTTTTTCCTCACAGGCAGTGGGCCGAAACCACCTGACCACCACCTCAAAACAGGATACACGCAAATGGCGGACCCTCTTCTAGTTGGTATTTAAAGGGTAGACATTTTAGGTTTTAGAAGACCCATATTGTGAGAAACACCCATATCGAACCCGCAAACTAACATGTGTGTGGGTGAAACCTTTTAGTTTCCCTTTGAATAGACATTGAACAAGGCAAACCTCAAGGAAGCACAATCCTAGTTTCGGCCGCTTAGGGACGCAAAGCATCATTGTGAACTCCCTTTTTGGTTGGCCGGGTTCCCCACTAAAAATTATCAACCTCAAGCAAGGATGATTCTGTTTCTATCACTGGACTGGGTTGAATTCGCAGGGGTTATTCCTTGTCTACCATCACTGGGACTGGGCTGAAAGACAAGGTTGGTAAAGATTCCCAACCCCCCAGAAATATTATTTTCCTACCACTGGCTTGAAAAACAAAAAGGGACAAAAGGCTAAGCTTCTTCAGGGCTCCTTAAAAGATACATTTTACCCATTTGAAACATGGCTTTTTCCACCAAAATAAAGGGAGACCACCATTTGCAAGGCAATGTTCAGGTGTTTGTCATGTAAGGATCCCTGTTCTTGGCTGCCATTTGAAGTTGGATCCGAGGCCTGCCGATCCGAAGGACTACGAGGCGAGGCTCGTCTCTGTGCTGGAGAAGGTGCCCGGACTGCGGCAGACCGGGGGGGGGGGGGGCCTGGTGCCTAGATGGGCGGCTCGTCTTTTCGTTGGTTACCAACAGGAAATGGGTGGGTTTCAAGGGAAACCAACAGGCCCTTATGTTTGAGACACACCTACTTCCGGAACCCTTCCAAGGGCTGTGGATTGGTACCCAAAATGGCCCCAAGGGTACTTGAGGTACAAAAGAACCACCCTTGAAGCTGGTTGATGGTTTTTAAACATCTACCTACCTACCTACCTACCTACCTACCTACCTACCTACCTACCTACCTACCTACCTACGAGCCCACTTTGCTTCCTGCCTGCCTTCCTTGCCTACCTACCAACTTTTTGGCCCCAAGGTGAGTTCTTGGTGATGGGAAATGGGGAGCCGTGGTTCATTCGACAAGCTTGGGGCGGGAAGCCATCGCTTTTGCGTTTTGCCACGGACGCCTTTCTGTAGAGAAACTAAACGTGTCTCAACTCACAACTCAACCTGCCCGTCAAAATAGGCCTCACACATTCCAGTTGTTTGTCTCCTTTTGTTTTCTGGTGCATGGTGGCAATTCCTTTCGCGTCTTCTTCGAAACCGGGCAAAAGGGGAAGTCCCCAAGAAGAGACGCCCACTTCGGCTTTCCCCTTACGTAGGTTTTGAGGTTTTTCAGGGTTGAGTTGTGGCTTCCACTAAACCCACCAAGAGTTAGGCTTCTGCCCGGCGATCTGGGAACCGCCCACTGATGTGAAATGGGCCCTTCCAGTGTCCGGTTTCCACCTTGCTTCAACTCAAGCGGCCTGTTCCTCACGCGTCAGGTGGACCAAAGGCCGCGAAGCCGGCATGTGCCTTGGCAAGGCGAAGCTGTGTTGGATCAGTTCTGGAATGCTGTTTGGAGTGGCTGGGGTATGTCTCTGACTTGTTGTAGCTGGTGTTTGGAGTAGTCTTTCTGGTGTTTCTGCTTATTTGTGTTGATTTGTTCATATCATGATGTCGGAGTAGCAGGCATTTGGGGAAATTGGTGTTTGGTTATTTCTTCCTGCGTTAAAGTGAGATGCTGACTAGCAGATGTGTAGTGGTTGGCACCCCAAGCAAATGGAGCCTTCGCTTTCTACTGGAACGTGAGTATAATTTTACTGTTGGATCCTTGAAACCTTGAACCTTCACCATGAAGGAACAGGTTAGCCATTGGTTTTCACCTAGCACCCGCAACCAAGAACCAGTGCCTTGCCCCTTTCCAAAGCTACCAACCATACCCCTTGAACTCTGTCTTTGTTTTCTGCATCAATGCTTGTTTGCTTGCTTGTTGTGTTTGGTTTAAGTTTGTTCGATCTCAAGCCCCACAAATCCGCAAACATATTTTCCCGGCGGTTTTCTCTGAAGCTCCACTTCGGTCAGCCCACCATCTCCGCCAAACATCGGCCGACGCCGATGCGCCGAGGTGTGCGTGGCGTATCTGCCGGAGGACTTCACGGAGGAGCTGCTCACGGATCTGCTGCTTGCGCCGGGGCCACAGACGGGGAGCTCAGGAAGGCCATTGGCCCCCTCAGACGGACAACATGGCATAAAGACCCCTCTCCCAAAGAATCCCAAGGGCCTAGCCCTGAGCTTGAGGTTGTTCTCTTTTGCTCAAGGTAGTAGAGTGGGGTTGTGGGGCACTGTTCAACGAGACGGAGAACGTTTGAAAGCATCACCCCACGTTTGCTTGAGGCGCCGCCAATAGAACATATCTACCAGTCAGCATTTGCCACTGAGAAAAAAGAACCAACCCCCAAGTTGTCGCAAAGCCAGCCCCATAGGTGTCCTTGAAAACATAGATGGCCCTGGTTTACCTGGTGGTTTAATCATCTACCAGGGCGATCTATTTCCCCTTAAAAGGACACCTATGGCCAGCCCCGTGTTCCCCCCGTTTGGCTGGGCGAACTTTGGCGAACCGCCTGACTGGTCCGAGGCACGGGGAGGTGGAGCACGTGACGCTGCAGAAGCGAAACCGCATGCAGACCGCAGTGGTGCGTATGGGCTCCAGTGAGCAGGCGCGGGGGGAAGCCCCGCGTACACCCGGGGGTCCCATTTTTACGTTACCAAAGACTGGGGTTATTATTTTGACCGTTTCTAGGGGTTTTCAAAGTCAGAAAATGGGGTTGTTTCCCTTTAACCCATCACTTAGGTGACTTTGATCATGATAAAATAATGGGACCAGAAAGAAGACTTAAACCCAAGGGGTGCCATTTTTTTGGTTACCACATAGAAGACTAAAACCCCAGGCAGTCGCTAATATCAAAAACTGGGCTGAAGTCCTTGGGGAAATCAGGAATTTGATTGGTTGCGAGGTGGTTGGCTGTGTGTGTGTGTGTCTTAGTACGAGGAGCGGGTCAATGAGGGTCAATGTTCCTAGGTCCCTTGAGGTGACATTTGGAGGGATTCTCAAAATTGCTTTGGTTTCTGGCCAGAAGGGAAAGCCTCCATCTCATGTGTTTTGGCAGGGTGTGTCAAGGTATTTGGAAGGTATTTTTGAGGATGTCAGTTTAGTGGCCCCAGTTTTTTTTTAAATCTACCCACCAACACGTAGCACGCCGCTATAATTGTCAAAATTGACAAACGGACCCCCAGCATTCATTTTGGTGTCCTTCTCGTTTCCCTCGCCAACCTCACCAGCCCTCAAAATCACCACGTCACAATGGAGGTGTAGCAGTGGGCAAACTCTGTTGATTTTGGTTTTCCCAGACCCTGGTTTCCCCTTTTCGGCTGGCTTTTCAGGGAAACCACAGCAGAACACCAGCCATTTCCGAGAGTTCCGATGACTGCTCGCACCGGGTGGGCGACCCATCTGCGAGGCGGGCGCGGCGGTGGCAGAGCTAAATGGCCTGGAGATGGGTGCCAACTCGCGGCTGGCGGTGGCACCTTGGTGGTGGGGGGGGTGGGGCGGGTGGGGGGGGGGTGGGGCGGGTAGGGTGGGTGGGGGGGGGGTGTGGGGGTGTGGGGTGTGTGTGTGGGAGCCATGGACGCTGGAGCCGTTGGCGTTTGGTTGGTTGTTTCTGTTACTTTTGTTGGGTTTCGGGTGGCTCAGAGTCTATTTTGCAGACTCTTGCACATGAGACTTTAAGTGCTCATCATGCGGGGGTGGGGTCTCGGGCACTAAATAATGGTGTTCTGTTTGGTTTCCCCTTGTTCCAATTTTCAAAACTGGGGGGGCTCCTGGTAAGAACATTGGGCCTGAAGATGACGCAGAATCTGAAGACCTAACTTGGCCAGTTTTCCTTTGGCTTCAAGGGCCAATTTTGTTCGCCCCAGCTTTTTGTGGTAGAATGGGAGCACCTCCTTGGTTGCTCACGGCGAACGAGAGTGTTTTTTGGTACCAAGGGAACGTCCAATTGAAGTGACAAAGTAGTTACGGTTAGCTATGATTATGACTCGGGTGACAAGGGTGCTGCAGTTTTTGCTCTCTCTTTTTTTTGCATGGGTTTCCTTTGTTGAGGACTTCCCCGTTTCGTTGGTTCGAGGGAAAACTTGAACGTCTTGTGAAAGGATATATGTTTAGGCTCACTAAATATGAACCACACTTCGGCATATGCGTTCATTTGGGGGCAAATGTTGAGGTAGTTTGCCCGAGGCGGTTCCAAGACTTGGCATGCTTCGGGGAAGATCATTGTCGAAATGGACCCAGGACTGAGACAAGGTGCCTCTAAGGCCCATCAATTGGAAGACTTCTTGGTGCTTCGTGGAATGAGTAGGAGTTTTGGACATGAACCTTGCAGAAGATCGCAGAACCAGCGAGGGTTCAAGTTTGGGCCCATATTTTCAGGAGCTCTGCTGGTTAAACGGCACCCCTTTGCAAAGGGTACCAGCACTGGCGTTGTCGCCAACTTTATTCCCTGGCCGCTTCAGATTTGCAAACGCTCACAGCAAGCTCACCGGTGATTTGGAAGACATCTTGTTTCTTTGGTTTGACCAGAACAGATGTTTCTGTTGTGTTTAGCTTGTTCGAACATGAAGAACGCTTGCCCACCAACCAGCAAGTCAAACCGTTTGCAGGGCATCAACCAACAATCTGATTGACACACTGACCAATGATTTCACCCCGGCGATTCCCTCGGAACAAAGGAATACTTACTTGCATTTCTCCAAGCAAAGTGGGGAGAAGGAAGCAGTTGGAGTTGTCGGTCTTGCACTGTCTTGGTGCTCTTTAGATGGAAAGCCAGAGGAACTCTGCCATAGCGTCGGGCCCCCCCAAACGCTTCAACATCTTCAACAAAACCGCGTTCAGACTGGACGCCCAAGGACGGATTTCTAGACATTCAACAGAAGCTTTCAAGTTCCGAAAAGGAAGCCGACGCCCGTTGGGGAGGTTGCCCTTTCAGACCAACCCCGCTTGGCGCTTTGGGCTCAGTTGCCCAGTGGCACCTTTTTTGCCGCTCTGTTTTGGGGATTGGTTCTCATGTAACCGCAGCTGCCAAAAAAGCGTTGTTGTTTGTTTTTTTTTCCCCATGGACATCGTGGCTCTTATCTTTTTCCGCTGTCCGCCGTTTCCGTGGCTCGGTTGTGCTCTGAGTCCCTGGCAAAGAACAGCGACGCGGAGCCCAGCGAGAAGCTCCGGGTCTCGGGTTTGCCCTCAGAGGCCACGGCTGGCTTCCTGCGCCAACTCTTCGGCCCCTTCGGCAAGGCACGAGACGTGGGACTGGGGCGAGGTTGAGGAGGGACGGGCTGGGAGAAGGTACCTTTTGTTGGGCATCTTGCGTGTCGAGTTGGCACACCCTGCACTTTCTGGTTGGTAGTTTTGATCCATGATTTCAGGCACGACCCCACGTTTGCGGGTGTTTTGCGGGTTTTTCTGGGCGGGGAAAACCTACAAAGAGAGCAATTCTGAAATCTCACGTGCCGAATCAATAAAAGTTAGGCGACTTCACGAAAAAACATCGAGATTTAGTAAAAGCAAGTTAAAGGCGAGAGCTACTAGGAATTTCATGGCTCAAGGAACCTGTTTGGATGGACGGAGGCTGGGACAGGGGAGATAGAGAACCACACGTTTTGGGGGTCCCTGTTGGGAGACAGACAGACCAGCATGCGCAGGGGTGGGGTGAGTGGGGGGTGGGCCCAAACAAAAGCCAGACAGGGGCTGTTGAAGGAATTGTGATTGGAAGTGATTGGACCCTGCCCCACCGGTGGATGATGGAATTTTGGACCAACCCACTAAACGGTCCAAGCCAGTTTGCAGCTCTTAGTGTTTGGGTGGAAGGGCTTGGCCCCACCCTAATTGTGGGTATTTGTTGCGTCGGGGAAAGAAGGTGGGAGGGAAGGGCTGAATTGGTGAATTTCGGTGGTAAGATTCACCCAACAGCGCCAGGAATGGTGAGCTCTTTTCCCAATTGAGCGGCGCCAATTCGCATCAGAAGGGAATTGTTCATGGTTCAATGGTTTGTGTATGGCCTATGATACTCTGAACCATCTTAGAGCCAAACGTCAATGGGCGTTTTGGGGCGCTGGTGAGCTTCTGGTTTGCTCACGTCCAGATTCTGGACGTCAAGCTCTCGGAGGAGAACTTGGCTTCTGGCCGCTGCCCGACCTGGAACATTGCCGTTGCGGTTTTGGGGGAAGAAGGAATTTCCTTGCTGGTGCGAGAGGCGGGGAATGAGAAATGGGATGACCCTGATAAACCATCCAACTGGTTTCCTTTCAGGGAATCCCCAGGTTCATTCCCACATTGCCTACTTCTCGCACCAGCAAGTTTCTGGGGAAGGAAGTTTGCACTACCGCACCATCACCGCGCAGCACGGCGCTGAACCGCACCGTGCCGCGCGCTGTGGCCACAGCGCGCCGCACGTTTCAATGACATGCGGTTTGTTCATTGATTTGAAGACTGCGACATATTTATGTTAGTCCCGAAATTCAATCAAGTATCCACTTTGTTCCCTTCGGCAGACAAGCTTTCAAAGTCATCTCTGAAATTCCTTCTTCCGACCAGAAACACACACACAAGGGGAGTGGAGTTCCTTAAAATTCAATTACAACATGAAGAGGAGCTCGTGAGGACCGAGCAAAATAGATGAGGTTTGTGGGAACTATTCGACCAGGCAATGATCATGGCAGACGTGTGTTGGGAATTTAACCCTTATGTATCAAAGCATAAACCCAAGGGTTCCCCTAAACCTTCCACACAACAACCGCATAGTACTACCCCCTCCCCCCCTCTACAACAACCGCATAGTACCCTCTCCCGCGACAAAAAGAAGCAAAGGCAAGAGCAACACCACATTTGGAACAACAGCACAAATCTCCTTCGCCCCCCAGCTCCAAACAGAAACCAACAAACTAAGGGGCGCAGTCCAAGGGGCACCTTCTGGCGCTCGCTTTCTTCCCCCCCGGAGTTTTGTTGGTTGTTTTGACGCATCTCCGCTCCGCGTTTTTGTTTTTTTTGGTTTTTTTTTTGTTGTTTTTTTTTTTTTTTCGTTGTTGAGGCTCCGCCATGGTGCGCATGAGCTCCATGGCGGGGGCGTCCTTGGCCATCGCGGGGCTGAACGGCCAGACGCTGGCGCCTCGCCCGGGGGGGAGGTACGGGAGGTACGGGAGGTACGGATGGAACGGGATCCCCCAGAAAACGCCGCAGGTGGCCAGATGGAGAAAACCCGAGTTGAATATGTTCTGGGAGAAGCCACCTGAGTCAACTGGTGCGTTTTGGTGGAGTTGAGGGAATGAGCCCCACAAAAACCATCCCTTCTGGCAAGGGGGTTGACTCCCCGAGGGCAGCTGCCTGTAACGTGCGGGTGCCTGGACTTTGTTTGGACTTTGTGGAAAGACTGCTCTGGTGGCAAGAAGTCAATCGACTGCTTCCAATCCACGGCACGTGAGTTGACTTTGGCAGGTGGCAGCTTTGCTCAACTAGCAATAGATCCACCTGGTGGGCGCTTAAAGAGCCGACTTGGCCTGGCAGAAAGCGATCTGAGCAACAAAAGTCCGGATGCTGGTGTAGATCATAGAATCCAGCCGCAAGAGATTCCACCGTCGACTGGCAACTCGGGTAAGCGGCCATCAACGTTGCCTGTAGTTGGTTTCTTGGAGTAGAGCTAGGTACAGCCAACATCAGTCATGGGTAGGATGTTCTGGGAGGATGGGGACCTGAGTTTCCCCGCAAAACCCGGGCAGAACACCCGGACATCCCTGCTTTGGCGCGCCCACTCAGGACGGATCGGAGCTGCCCCTGCACGTGCGGTTCTACCAGCTCGGATCCCGGATGTTGGATGTTGGGCCACACTGCTGTTGTGCTCCCCGAACATGGACCAAGCAGAAACGACAACAGGAAAACCACGAATTTTCTAGAGGCATCCTGCTTTCGGGGGGGACCTCTTTTCGGGGCTCTTTCCGCGCCTTTCCGCGGCTTTTGGCTCTCAGCATTTGGATTCGTCGGCAGAAGAGCAAGAATGAGCGAGCCCCAACCACGGTCGGAGCCCCTGTTGAAATCAAGGAAACCTGGAGCACTCGCCGCCAGCTGGGTCAACGATGAAAGTCTGCGCAATGGACGAAACTGATGAACACCAAACGAGGAACATTCTGGCTTTAGGGTTGAACGTGGACCAAGGTAAGGACAGGTTCCATGCTCATCTGCACGGATTGCAAGCCCTTGATTGCCTCGTGAGTTTCTTACTTGTGGGTGGGAATCAGTCATTGCAATCTGTAGTCAGAGGGCTTCGAAACGAAGGTGCTATGGAAAGGATGCTTGCGGCCAGATTCGTGAGCATCATCTGGTGCTGGTCACAGGGAGCACTGGCGGAGTTCAAGTGTCAGCACTGCCAAACCGACGAAGGATTCCAGGAACTGTTGAAAGAGCAGGAGCCGCTGCCAGCTGGTCAGCCGTCAAGCAGCGTGCACGTGCTCTGGCCCGCACACGTGGAGGTTGTGCCCCTCACCGAGGATATAGGTGGATGGTTGCCCGCCTCCTTCCACGAGAAGTTGGCCTCAGAGGCAGTGAGGGGCTGGCGAAACTTCCGGGACGAGATCGGGCCGGGCCTGCCACGGCGCCACGACCTCTACAGGCAGCTGAATCAGAAGCACGCGGGTGCCCTGAACGATGCGTTCTTCCACTACCAGAAGCGGCTCTTTGAGGCGGAGGGAGACTTCGACCGAGCGATGGATCCGGACTTTGGGACCGCAATGCCTCTGCCTGATGCGAACTCCAGCTGGCCGGATATGAACGCGCTGCCGGAGTACAACAGGCTCCGCAAGATCGTGGAGCGGTTCAGCCGGAGGTATCTCATCAGATCGGGACTGGCTCAGGAGGCCGCCATGGGTTTGAACTACAGCATCTTCAACTGGGCCGCGGTGCACGGGCCCGGGGAGTTCCATGGGCCTCACACTCATGTGGGGGAGTACCACGTGGGCGTCTTCTACGCCCAGGCCGGTGAAGCCGCTGGAAAGCTTCGGTTTGGCGACCCGCGAGGACACAGCCCGCCCTTCGGCCGGTCCTTCTTCCACACGCCGAGGTCTGGGGACCTGGTCTTCTTTCCCTCCTGGCTGAGTCACATGGCCACCGTGACGGCGCCGCAGACCAACCCGGAGGCCAAGGGGACGCCGCCCCTGCGCGTCGTCTTCTCCTTCAACATTGGCCCTGAGCAGGGCCCCATGCCGTGTCCCCTGTGGTGGAGCGATCCCACGGGCGACATGCGGTTCAGTCGAAAGCTGCCCTTCGATCCGAAGAAGCTCGGCGTGTGAGCGGCTTCGTTCCGCGCGCAGGGCGCGCCCAGTTCCAGTGGACAGAGTGCGGCTAACGCTGTCCTGTGCCAGCAAAATACAAAGAAAAGGAAGGCTTGAAAATGAAGCACCCCCGCCAAAAAGAACAACAACAAGTAAAAACAGGCTCCCTTTGCAAGGGGGCTCCCCCAAGAGGAGTTTCTTGATTGGTAGTTTTTGTGTTCCATGGAGTATGCAAAAGGGGGGGCCTGGTTCCGCATGGTTCCCTGTTCGAACTTAGGCCGCTCGATGCGATTGGCGGCAATGGCGCCTTGGCTTTGCTCAGCGTTTGCTGAAAGCTTGGCCGCTAATTTGTTGGATCTTGTATCTTGGAACATTTTTTGAGTGTTTCTGCGGGCCATCACAGTCAGAATCTGGGGCGCATACCACTTTGAAGATGGTAGGGTAATGAGGCCAGTTTAATGTGTTTTGTTCTGTTTGAAGTCTCGCCCAAGAGTAAAACTCCTTGCGCAGGCAAGAGCCGCGCAGTCATGGCGCTTTGAACCCCGCCAGTATGTCGACCCCATCTTAACCAACCCCAGTCTTTTTAATAGGGGGTGTCAACCTGTGCTTGGTTCTAAGGGTTGCTTCCCCATTCTTTGCAGGGATTTGTGTTTCTAGAAATCCACCAACACCCCTGGGAAAACAGCTTGGAGGGGCCAAAGCCACCCCCGAGTCGAATAAACCGACACCACTCGCACCGAGGCGGCGTCCAGGGCCGCCCGGCCCACCGTGACAATCGCTGGCCCGAGAAGCGGCGGTTTCCGCGGGAGCGGGGGACGCCGCCGCCCATGAGGTCCGGCAAGGGGTTTCGGGCGCAAGTTGGGCGAGGTTTCGGGGTGTCTCAAGAGTGTGAGGCACCCCTAAAGTGGCGGTGCTGCCATTATAGGCCTCCCTTGAAACCGACCCGCCAAAAAGATAAGTGGTAAAATATCATTTAGTGTAATTAGGATGGTTGATATTTATCATCATTGCTGCCGAAGGGATGGCAAGGGTCACACGAGCCCCAAATACAATTCAACAACGGGGCTCACCGGAATATCATGTCAGTTGGGGACACACCTAATGTTGACACTGGCTCCGCTGGCTTGTCAGGGGACCCATCGTGGACGAGTTCTCGCAAACAGGATCGGGTGATTGCACCAAAGGATTGAACCCAGCATCCGAAGGATTGACTTCTGCCGCGCTGTTTCTATGCGTTGTGTCGTTCTTGATCTGACTTCCCCAAGAGCAGTTTACCGAAGCTTGCGGTTCTTGGTCTCACTGCCTCCGCAAATGTCAACCTAACTAGGATTGAGAAACCGATTGGTGGATTAATCGTGGGCATCCCATGTTAAAGTCAATCCTTCGCCTTGGCAACTTTTTTCCAACAAACCGACTGCTTGAATTGTTCAATTGCGTTTGGGGTCGATTCCCTCACTTCCCCACGTGAGATTCTCGGGGTGTAAGGGGTTTCCGCATGGCCTGTGGTTCCGTTTGGGTGCCAAGCTGTGGGAGTGACATGAGGAAACGTCAAGACACATCAGGATTTCTCTGAATCAAAGGGGTGCGTCTCCTGGATTTGTTCTTGTATTAGGTGGGAAATCAAGTAGCGGCAATCTGTTGTTTCTCCCAAAAAGGTGGTTGATTGATGTTCCTTTATTTTGTAGCAACAGCTGTAATTATACAGTGATCTATACCCGTTTTGTCATTTTGTTTTTTCGCTACAAATTAAGCTAAAAGCCTAGGCGTTATTTTGTGATGTATATTGTTGGCGCTTCTCTCCCAATGGACTGCTTGCCTCATCCAACAACACATTGCTCGGACGCCGATTGGCGAGGCCGGCGTGGAACCGTTCGGCCCCTCCTGCGGCTGCTTTGGGAGCGTTCCCAGGCCGGAACCGGAGCATGTCTGGTGGGTAGCCGTTGGTTGGTCCGACCAACGAATCGGTTTTTCGGTTGCCCACGAAGCAAAAGGCAAAAACGGAGCTCAAAGAACAGGTTTTTGTTGGGTGGGAAAAGCATTCAGTGATTCAGGCACCTGAATTGGTGGTGTGGGGCTTGAATCCTTTGTTCTTGTTTGGGCCAAAAGGGAAGGCGGCCCGCTCATTCCGGACCAATCCAAACCACCAGTTAGCGATAAGGCGATTGGGATGGGTTTGGGTGCGCCAGGGTGATTTGTAGGGTTGCCGGGTTTCACCTCAACCAACATCTTTGCTGGCCGGTGTCTTGTTTTCAATATTTGTTTGTTTACATTTTAAGGTTCACAACGCATGAACCATGGGCCAGAAGCAAACATACTGTTTGTGATTGGGGGCCAAAAAGTTAGGAACTTTCGGGGTCTAATTTCAAAGAAATCAACAAGGACACGACACCACCATTTTGGGGGTGGAGTTTGCACCCTAGCTGTCCTTTCCGGTTTCCGTTCGGGAATTGAGGTAGAGAAATCCACATAGGAACTCTTGTGGTATCCCCGTACAAAGGCCGCACAAGGCAGCACCAGGGTCCAACAAAGCGGTCATACTTTTCGCCTTTTTGGAAACCGACTGGTTACCCGAAGTGGATGGCCTAGAATCATTTGTGTCAGCACGGAGAACCTCGTTTGGATAGTCTTTGCAGACACACCAGGGATCTAATCGTCTTGAGGTGTCAGCTTGGACCAAATGAAGCTTTCCATGGTCCTGCGTGCTGAAGCTTTTGTATTTTGAAGACACTTTGGCTATTGCAAGTTTGGGCTCAAAAATATCAAGTCCCATTCATGCTTCGAGGCTAGAAACACGGGTCATTGGGGTATGTCTGCTTTTCTGGTATGCTTTTTGGGGCGCACATGCGAGCGGGACGCTTGGCGGCCCATCTATAACAGAGGTTTTCGTTGCTTGTTCTCTCCCAATAAAGGGCACCGGAAACTGGTTAGGACTCCGTCTTCGTCCCCGCTCGCCGCGAACTGGGTGCTTCCTAGCAACACTGTTCAAGGGAAATGTAAACTCAGTGTTTGGCTTTTTCCCCTTTACAACATCCCTCATAGCAACGTGGGTCATCGCTCAGTGGGTCAACGCGGGGGGAAGGAGGGTTCCAAAAGGGCCACTTTGGGAACCAACATGGTTCACCCAGAATCTCACGTCCAAAAACGACAAGTACTCCCTTTGGGGCCCCAAAAGGAAACAAGGGAAGCCATTTGGGCCCCACACACACATGCAAGCGCCAAACACTGCCAGGGGATTCGATGGTTGTTTCCCCAAAGATGGGACCTGCCCCGCCAGTTCCCCCGCCGCCCTCGGGCCCACCTCCTGCGGGGCAGTGGTGACGCCCGGCAGAAAGGGATGGTCGAGGGATTCCGCCGCTTCGGGGCTCCGGGGTGCAGCATCCACTTAGGAACCCTGTAGAGGTCTGCTAGGCGTAGAGGTCTGTTAGGCGTAGAGGTCAGGGCCGCATCTTGGCCTGCTTCTCCAGAAACCAAGTAAACCCCCTGTCAAGTGACGTCAAATTTGGCAAAGGCTCAATCAATGCGGACCACATCTTCAACATCCTTTGCTTTGCAGGGCAAAAGCCAGGGTGGTGAGAACCAGGACTCACAAAATCGCCATGCTTTTGTAGGTCTACAGGTAGTGCCCTTTTATCCTTTTTTTGGGGAGGGTTCCCCTACTAAAGTAGAAAACCGAACAAACGGGTACTCTTATTCCAACCTCTCCACTGGAGCACCTAGTTTTGTTCAGACAAGTTTCTCTTGGGTGATGCATTTGGACCCCCCTTGGAGGGCTGTTTGAGAAGCCCTTAGACCACCCACGCAATCCACGCCGCTGTTTGTGGGGCTGGATGACCGCCCCTGGTGTTTTGCAGTATGGTTGTGACAGATCTCACCCATGATGCTGAAAACAAAAGGACCCCTTGGGTGGTCTTGAAAGAATACCAAGAATATCAAGGCGCACTGGAGAGCCCCAGCCGACGCATTCCCTTCCAACATGGTTGGTGTGTTTCATGAATTTTATTTGTGCTTGCAAGATAATGCTGTCCTTCTTAGGTCCCGAGGTTCGCAGGCGGACACTCAAGTCATTGTCCCCCGAAAGACCAGGGGGCTTGCTTTGGACCCCCCAAAAAAAACAATAGATAAAATAATCAAACAACAACAAGAAAAAGCGGCACCTCTCCAACGACTGCGGCGGCTTTGGTCAGCTTAGGCCCGCCGCTCCCCCCCGCGCCGCTGCGGCAGCGGTTGCCTGCGCCGGTGGCGCCTTCGCCTTCGCCGGCGGTGATGCCAACGGGCCAGGCGAGGCATGCGCTGCGGCCTTCGACTTGGTGTGGGAAATGCAGGGAATGAGAAATGGAATGACCCTTCTAAACCATCTACCCTTTCACCAGCTAACATGGAAGTGCACAGACCCCGGCAGAAAGACTACTTTTCGCTTGGAAAGGGCCTTTTTGCACTTCCATGTTAGTTGGTGGGAGGGTAACTGGTGGTGTCCTTTAAGGGGACCAAAGCCTGGGTTCATTCCCTCATTCCCTTCTGTTGACCCCATATTAATCAACCCCAATTTATGAATGGGGGGGTGTCCATTTCTGGGTATCACTATTAGAGGCCTACTCATAAACTGGGGTTGATTAATATGGAGCCACCAGTAGGGAACGAGGGAATGAAGCCAGGATTCCCTTAAAGGAAACCACCAGTTGGATGGTTTATAAGGTTATAAGGCTCATTCCCTCGTTTTTTGTTTATCGCACCAGCAGGTTGAGTAATGCAAGCTGCGTTACACCTTTTTCGCCCCCTTTTTAGCATGAAGGACGTCCGTCACACATGATTGGTGGCACAAAACATCCCCATAGTGATGGCCACCAAAAATGGTCAGCGAACTGGCCGCCTGTCAAGGGAAACCAAAGGGGTTGTTTGAGCTATGGTGATTAGGATGGAAGTCGTTCCTGTGACGGTGTCCTTTTAGGGAATCTAGCTTCAGAGGAACATCATCCATTGTTTGGGGGGTCCCATCCCCTGTTGAGGCAAACCGATGTGAGATCTGTTGGGACCCTTGGTGCAGAATTCTTGAGGATGGTCCGAACCAAGGGCTTATGTGGGGCAGCTTTTTACCATTCCTTTTGTTTTGGGGACGTATTATATATATGACAGGCGGATTTTGTCAGACCTAATTTTTTCGGCCAGTGACACCGTTCTTCTTTTTGCTTGAGTGGGATTCCCTTTGCGGAGGACACCAACACCTGGTCTAGGATGCCCGGTGGTTTTTGTTTCAATGATATATATATATATATACATATATATATATATATATGTAATGTGTCCTAAGCGGCTTACCGTGAACCGATTCCAACCAGAATTAGTAGCAGCCTGACTCAGCCAATATTCAATTTCCTTTGAGAGTATGGCAAACAACAAGTTCCTGTTTTTGAAAGCAACACCACCTGCAGCTTTTGTCCCCAACCAAAGACGACATGCTTGGTTCTGGGTCCCTGTTTCGTGGGCTTGCAAACTAATTAATGTTGGTAAAGGGAAAGCACATGGAATTCCTCTGCCGATTCCTTGTTCACAGGCGTGGGGGTGGCTTCCACTTTGCATCCCCAACGGAGATTTAATGATAGAATAGACTCTGTTCGTTTGTACATCCAGAAGGCATGGGAAAAGGCCCGACCTCGCCCAGGTGCGGTGATTTTGCTATCAAAGTCACCCCAGTAGGTCCAGAAGTCCATGGATCAAAAGGGAAGCACCAAAACAAAGTGAGGACCTCTACCGGGGACCCCAAAAGGTGGTGTTGCTTTGGTTTCCCTTTAAGCACATCCCAAGGGAATCCTTTGGAAGAGGCAAGCCTGAAATTTCACTCGTGGTGTTCCTTTTCTCTGCTCCTATGGTTTTTTGTTGGCCTCCCCGTAGTACGGCATCTTCAAAAAAGCGCACCCAGTACCTCCCACGAGCCCTAAAACACCGGTCGCATTCTGTCGCATTCTCCAGGCGCGGCCGAGCGTTCGGCCCACACGGACGCCGAAACCCAGCAGCAGGCAAAGCGAAGTTGTCGAGGCACCAAAATTGGTCGCCCACTTTGTTAAAACATGCGGGTGTGTTTTGTCTTGGGTACTTTTTGTTTGTGGTTCTAGAGGAAAATTAGCGGGACAACCACCGTGTTGGGGGGGTCCCCCCCAAAAACACACACACACACACACACCCATGTGTGTGTGTGTGTGCGCGTTTGCGTTTGCGTTGGTTGTTTTTTTGAAGCCGGACCCCACAATGGGTGGATTTTCCTTTTTGCTTTCCCTTGCAGATCCACCAATGAACAGGTACCCTCAAAACACAAACACACCCACACAGCCAAGCTTCTGCTTATCTTCATGGGCATCGAGCGCACCGATCCGGGGATGAAGCGAGCTGCAGAGTTTGCAGGCTTTTTAGCCAGATTTGACTGGATTCGCTTAAAAGGGAACCGGGGTCCGTTTCTTTGCAAGACAACCAAATCCGCTTTAAGACGGGGGGGTCCTATGATTTCCCGTTTTGGCCCCCTTGCGTTGCCAGACTTAGTTCACGTGTTGGCCCCATGCCCTAGTCCTTCCCTTGTTATCATTCTTCTCTTTTGACTATCAGAAGGTTGACTTTCTACACAGGGCTAGCTTTGTCCAAGCACCACCCTTGGGTGTGTGTGTGTGTGTGTGATGACGCCCCCATGCGCGAGTGTTGTTATCATTGGTAAGTGCATGATGTCCTCAATTAAACATTCCTGTAACCTTGGGCGAAGCCGTTCTGGTTCGCATGTGTTGCGTGGCTTATGACCTATGTCATTTGCCTGCCAATGGCCACAAGGTGACTCAAGACCAGGCTTTTGGAGTACAGCTCACGCGGAAATCAGCCAGAATTGAACACGCCTTGGCTCCCAAAGAAGGCTTAAACCTTTCACCCGCCCACTCACCCCTCCCGATTCTCATTGATATGTTTGTATATAACCTTGGTATCACATGGTTAATTCTGTCAAGCTTATTTTAGTTGCCCTGTGGTGCCCTTTGACTCCTTTTTTTTTGGAAGGGAGTCCCTTCAATGGGCTAAAGCGTTAACCGTAGGTGGTCGCTTGTCTTGACTCTTAATAAGTATCCACTTGGGCCACCATTTTGGCTCAAGTGGACCTTTTGATCTTTTGTCTTGTGATTTGAAATCTTTCTTTCCCCTACTCTCAAAGCCATGTACGCCCCCGCCTACGCTGGTGCCGCGGTAGCAGAGGCCAAGGCCTGTGTCGGCGGCTGCCACGTCAGGGGTTCCCCCCTGCTCCCCCCAGGGCGTTCCGTGCCTGGGGGGGTTGGGGGGAATGGGGCCCTCCTATCAGGGCCCTCGGCACCTGGGAGTGGCCCCTTCCCTGAGGGTGTTGACCGCGGAGAGACGTCCAGGCCGCCGGAGGTCTCCATCATCCGCCTGCCCCTATCAGGGCCCTCGGCACCTGGGGGCAGGCTGGTGCTGTGGGGGTCCCTCTCAGGGCCCTCGGCACCTGGGGACTGCCCCTGCACCGGCTGGTGAACATCCCGAGGTTCCTCATCAGTGCCCGAGGATGGGGCTCGGAGTAGATGAGGATGGTCCGCCGCTGTCCTGAGCCAGTGGATGGCATGGAGGCAGTCTCCAACCATCGGTGCGGTGGTCTTCTCCTCCGTGTGAGCCTGGATGTGTGCGTTTGCTCCCCCTTTTGAGCCATCATAGATCGTCCTGATCTTGTCCGACTCATCAATCCCTGCAAGGGGGCCCGGGCAAAGTTCCTCCGGTTTGCAGCGGCACCTCTCTGCCGCCTCGGAGCGAGTGAAGGGCCCGTCCACCATGTCCAAGGCTCGTTCCTCGTAAAAGGTTGATTCGATTTCCTTGGCAAAGAGTTCAGCCGTTGGGTAGTTATCATGAGCCACTGGCGGGGGGGGATCTTCCCCCAGCCAGGCTTCTCCCTTAAGCTCCTCCTTAGTGGGCCAAACTCCCGGGGAGGTCAAGGTAGGGTCCGAGACTCCCAAGGGGACCCCCTCTTTCAGTGTTAGGGGGAACTCCCAATCAGGGTCACCTGAAAGGGATGCCAAGTGCGACACTAAGTCCAGGAGGAAGGGTTGTCCTGGGCATCGTTCATGGAGGTGCCTCGGTCCTAGGATAGCCCGCAGCTCCTCGAGGTCGGCTTCCTGGAAGGGGTGTGTGGTGGCACCTGATGCCAGGGACATTCGGACCTTGTCAATCCAGGGCCGGGTAAGGGTCATGATCAGGGCGCCCAAAGTAGCCAATGGGGAAATTCTCCGAAAAGGGGGGTTGAGCCTCCCTGGGGAAGGTTTTCCCCCCCCATCCCTCAGGGGGCGTGAGCGGAAACCCAATTGGACAATCGCCACCCGGTCAGTGAGGTGTGGGACCCTGAAAGCGGGCAGGCATTCGGGGCGGTCCAGGACCTGGTCCCCCTGTCCCTCCTTCCCCAGTTGTTCCGCATCTCCGGCCATCGGGGGCATGGGAGATGGGAAGTCTGGGTTCATTGTTCCACGAGGGCTTACGGTGTCTGCCTCAGGGTGGAACTGCCCGTGCAGGCGGGGCTTCGGGGCGTTCTTGCCTCCGGGCTTTGAGCCCTGGTGTGATGAGGAGGGACCGCCTCCTTGACTGGGCCCCCGTTTTCCCCGGGGGGAATGGCCTTCCGGGGGGTCCGACCCCCGCCCCTTAGGTGGTTCCTTGGGGTTTCCCGGAAATTGTGAGGGGATCCGGATGTGCCCCGGCGCTGCGAGTGACACAGCGATGGCTTTGGCCAGGCCTGCCATCATATCCCAAGGGTATCTGCTAAGAGTCGAGGACTCGTTGGTGCCCACATGTGACTGATGCGTGCACCGCATTTGATCCCAGTCCTGGATCGGGAGATCCGTGGCCAGCGTAGTGGCCTTCTTGACCAGCTGGCCCAGGCGGCACTGGTCGAAGGAGATTGCTGTCAAGGAGTTCTCCTCCATCCAAAGCTGCCCCTCCTCTGTGATCCAGAAGGATGAGCATTCCTTGGCTTTGGGCAGCGAGCTGCTCACCACTGGGTCCTCCGGGTGTTCCAGGAAGGACCTGGGCCCTGGCAGAGAAACCGCCGCTCGTGAGGCCCTTGCCAGGCTGGTGATGTACATCTGTCTCAGAATGAGGATGCTGTCATCATCAAGTTGAGTCTGGGCGGCCTGGTCCAGGTGTGGAAGGCCCCAAAGTGTCTCTGGAGTGCGCCCTCGCACCGGGGTGGGAGCCCCCGGTTTTGGTATGTGGCGCAGGATGGACCATGTCCTGCAGTTGGGTCCTCCTCCAATGAAGACCACTCGGCCCTGCTTTGCTGCCGTGCAAAGAGCTCCATACAGCTCGGGTTGGAGCATATCGTGGTCCCCTTTGGGTCCAGACCGTAGGATGTCTACCGCCACCACCATGCTGGAAAGGTGTGGGTAGTTGGCATGAAGACAGCTGTCCAAGGAAGTTGGGTCTTCCTTGCCTGCATAGAGCAGGACAATGATGGGCCCACTGGATGGAACTTTGGGCGATGTGCCCTGTGTCCATCTCAGCCGCTGTACCAGACGCTCAGGGATGTTCTCCATCCACGGGAAGATGTCCAATCCCGGTGACGGCTCCGTTGGACTTGTCAGGGGGGTAGCTGAAAGGCGTTGGCCCCCTTCATTCAGCAGGCCCCCCAAAACCCCGGAAAGTCAACCCCGAAACGGAGGAAACGGGGGAAAAAGGGGGACCCAGGGAGCCGCCCCGAAAAGGGAAAACCAAACAAGAGAGGGGAACCAAGGCGCACCCCGGATCAGCCCAAGCCGCGCCAATTTTCCTCGCCTGGTGCAAGTCTGGGCCTGCGCTGTTCCCTGGGGGGGGATATCAGCGCCTTCGGCAGCTGTCCCCCCCCCGGGGTGCGCTGCGCATCCGTTCCGGATGGCCGCGGTCCTGGATGGTGTGCCGGAAGATGGCGTTGTCCCGCATCATCACGCGGCCCCCTTCGCGATGTCATCGATGCGCTTGAGCGCAGCAGCCTCCGGATTCCGCAGAATCAGCTCCCAGATGGCATTGGAGACGTGGCCTGTCTGGGTGGTCTGGCTGAATCTGAACCTGGGCACCTTCTGGTCCACGATGGAGACGTCCCGCAACGGGGCCGAGGGCTCCACCCGGCGGTAGTACTCCAGCCGCTCCTTCACCCAGCGGTTGTAGAGGCCCTCCGGCGGCTCGTCCAACACCAGCTGCAAGATGGCCTTGCCGGCCCGGATCTGGAGGAGGCGGGTGCCCCCTCCCCCGGCACGCCAGTACCCCTTACAATACTTGCACATGTAGCCCCCCCGGGTCTCCCCTTTTGTCTTCGGGATGAGTTCCCACGGGGTGACGGAGCTCAGGACCAGGCCACACTCCATGTGCGCCCAGAAGACATGCTTCATCTCCACCGGATAGTTCTTCTTCCGGTAGTCCTTACCCACCACGCCGTGGACGTTGTCCGCCGTGATGGGGGGGTAAACGATCCCCTCATCGCCCTCGCCTCCCCTGGGGCGGATGTCAGGGCCATCGGCACCTGTCCGGCACCCAGGGGCGGAGGGGTCCAGGCCCATCAGCTTGATCATGTCGTTGGTGTAGCCGAGCTTGCGGTAGATGGAGGGGGCCACTGAGTCGGGGACTGCGCCGACCCACCACTGCTTCGTGTTGCAGCGCCAGTTGACCTTCACCTCCGCCAGGGCCCCCGGGCCTCCAATGCGGTCCATGAGGGCCTTGTACACCTCTGGGAACTGCTGGAGGCTCTCCACCGGGACCGAGATGCGCTCGTCGCATACCGCCCGCAGGATCATCTGCTCCTTGGAGTCCGCCACGTCCTGGACCGGGAGCTGCATCACCTCCGCCGGGGTGTCCGTGAGGAAGGCCCGGGCCGCGAGGACCTTGCCCATGGCCCGGTAGACCAATCGCCACTCCGGTCCTGTCTGCGGAAACGGAAGGCCCTCCTCCTTCAGGAAGCACCGCGCGTCCTCCTTCAGGGTCTCCCAGCCCTCCAGGCGGGTCTGATTCTGGGCCTTGTTTTTCGGGCCCCGCTGCCTAGGGCCCTGCAGCAGTGGCAGAGACTCCCAGACTCCCCAGAGCTGGCGCAGGGTGTAGCTGTGCCCGAACATCCCCAGTAGGCCTGGGAGTGTCCAGGACGAGATCGCGTCCAGTGGAAGTCCTCATCCGGATCGTGGGGGGCAGCCCAAAAGATGGATCGCAGGTCCCCAGGGTAGGGTCGGTCCCCCGCCTTCGCCTGCTGGTTCAACTCATCAACGGAGTACCTGGCCCAGGGGAGTCCACCCACCTGGTGGTTCCTGGGATGCGTACCCTTCTCCAACGCCTCCGGATTCACCTTGGTGAGGTTTTTCGCCCAATCCGGGACGTGTACCGGGCCCGGTCGTCGGACCCAGCGGCCCGCAAAGATACGGACCTCTCCGACCCGTTTGCTCATCATCCAGCGCAGGACCGAGAGCTGCACCTCCGGGTCCTTGGTGTCCAGGCCCACCGGGGTGGCGGACGGCTTGTCAGGGCCCTCGGCACCTGAGCTCGTCACGCCAGAGCCCGAGGCTGGGGGGATGGTGGGCGGCCTGTCAGGGCCCTCGGCACCTGGGCGCGCCGCACCAGAGCCCCCCGCCTTTGGCATGGGGATCCCTGTCAGGTCCGGCAGATCTGACAGGAGGGCCGCCGGGAAGGGATTCCTACCCAGCGAGATGACCGCCTTGGCCTCAAGGTAGGAGTCCGTGAGGGATGTGAGGTCGTCCATACTGAAGTCCCTCCATGCCGTTGTCGGCTCGAAGACCCCAGTCTCAATGGCGACCCGGACCTCACTAGGCCACGCACTGAAGGGAGGCGCGATGGGCTCGAGCATTCTGGTTTCGAGGGAGCCCTTCGCCTGTCTGGCTTGGTGTTTCGCTTTCGCCTCCTCCGCAGTGGTCTGGGCCTGGAGGAGCTCCGGTGTGGGTCTCCCCCAGTCCGCACCCAGCTTGTCCAGCAGCTTCTCACGGAAGAGGTCCAAGTCCAGGTTCTTCAGGAGCAGGCCTCCATCACCTCCTCCGTCAATGGCCCCCCCTTGAAGTTCGTGGAGGACCGCCGCGGAGCGCTCCACCGCTTCCACCTGGTCCGCCTTCTTGGCCTCCTCCTGGGCGATGGTGGTGGCGTTGAGCCGGGTCTGAATCTTGAAGGCCTTCACCGCAGACGGGTGGAAGGCTCTGCATTCCTGGCCCTCTTCCTTGTCGCCTGGCAATGGGGGCCTCTCCCCCGGTGGGGCCGTCAGAAACTCCTCGTCCAGCTCCATGGGGCAGTTCCTGATCACCGCCCGGACCGAGGAGGGGACGAAGTCCGAGAAGCTGGCCTGGTCCGGGTTCTCGCAGGCCATCGGGTCGGTGGCCAGCTCGCTGACGTCCACCGAGGCACTGAGCTTGAGGTCGCGGGCCCGGTCCGTGTCAGGGCCTTCGGCACCCGCGGACCGGGCCGCCGTCCAGACCGCATTGCCCTGGTCATCCACCGTCAACTGCCAATGCGTGCCCGCCATCTCCAGGGTGGCCGAGTTGGTCGCCGTGTCAATGGGCTCCGTCTTCTTGCCGCACCCCATGCACTTCGTGGCGCCCTTCTTCACCCAGGGCATGGTGCAGCAGGGGCAGATCCAGGATGTGGGCACCTTGCCCAGGGGGCGGTTCTCCAGGCCCCCGTACCCCAAGCCAGCGCGCTTGCCAACCTGCTGTCCCGGGGTGCTGAGCCGGGCCTCATGCTCGTACTTCATCTTGGCGATGTAGAAGGCCTCCACAACGCGCTCCAGGCCCCCCTGCTTGAGTTGGGGGCCCTCAAAGCCTCGCAGGAGCCGCTGGACGTCCTTGGCCTGCAGTCGGCGGAGCCTAGTGGCCGTGGTCGCATCGAAGCAAGGGAAGTCGCCCGCCATCTGGTCGTCGCTGAACTGGTAGAGGCCCTCCGAGACCTTGAGGGCCTTGGTGAACACGCTCCCCCCCGGCGGGGGGGCTGCGGGGTTCTCATCCTCCTCCGAGGACGCCTGCTCCTTGACCTTCGCCATCAGCTCCCGGCGCCTCTGCCACTTGGCGTCTGCCCGGGCATCCAGGCGGGCCTCCTCCAAGCGGGCTGCAGCCAAGCGGGACCTGGACATCGGCAGCTCCTTCTCGTCCTTCGCCAGGAGCTCCTCCATGGGCACGTCCTCCTCCGACGGGTTCAGGAGCTCCAGGAACGCCCCTGGGGGGCGTGTCAGGGCCTTCGGCACCTGCGCCACCCCAGGGGCTGCATCTTCCATCGGCTCATCCTCTGCCTTGCGCTTGGCCGGGATAAGGGGGGCCTGCTCCAGCTCATCTGCGCTGGAGAAGAAACGCTCGTCAGGTGCCTGAAAAACCTCAGCAGCCAAAACGGTCCATCCTTCTTCCTCCCTCTTCACGAGGCTCGCCAGGTACTTTGCCATGGAGGCCTTTGCCTCACCAAGGCCCACAGGCGCATTGGTGTGCTCCAGAAAGACTGGATGTTCCAGGTGGCCTGCATCCAGAACCGGTGGTGGGTCAATAGAGTGGGCACGTACGGCATGGCCTCGGCACAACTGTACTGGGGAAGAAAGGCATCCTTGGTGCTCAGACTCTTGTTCTACATCTTCCCTCAGGTGGACTGGCACTTAGTTTTTGTGGACGACTACTGCTGGGTCCTCAGATGCAGCAGGGCGGACTGGGACGCCACAGCCATCCTGGCCACTCTTCTGGCGCTGGGAGTCCCGCTTTCTTGGAAGAAGACGGCGCTCTCCCCGGTCAATACCTGGTTGGGATTCGTGGTGGACCCAATCACGCCCTGTGTGCTGCTGGCTCCAGTCAAGCACGTCATAATCCTGGCCACTCTCAAACGGCTGGCCCAGGGGGACATCTTTACCAGCAAGGAGGTGGAACAAGCCCTGGGCCGGATTCAATGGGCTACTTCGGCGTGTCCATTGACGAAACCTTTCCTCCAGCCCTTTTGGAGCTGGAAGAAGGCCTGCACCACTTCGGGCAGGCCACCGAAGCTGGTTCGTGCTCTGGCCATCCTTCTGGGGAAGCTCTTCAACCAGAGGTTCCCACTGGCATCTCCATTTGCTCCCACACTTCCATGGACGGGGGCATCTGATGCGGGAGCTGGCAAACAGGCGGACCATGCATGGGTTGGTGGTTGGTGCTCGGACGTGCCCAACCCCGACAAGTCCCGAGTGAAGTGGTTCCAACACAGAATCACACCGGAGGGCGAGCCGTGGGCCTTCACTACTGGGGACCCGCAGCGGGCGATAGCGGCCTTGGAGCTCTTCGGCCTCCTCCTTTTGGTGAGGGCTGTTCTGCTTTGTGCAGCCGGCTCGGCTTCTCACACTAGGATTCTGGTTGCTAGTGATAACCAGGGAAACGTTTTCTCCCTGCTTAACGATTCCACTCGCAGGATGCCCAATGCGGCCATCCTCATGGAAATTGTGTTAACACTGCATGACCACCAGGTCATGTTAGGACCGTCGCATGTGAAGCGCGACTTTAACACATGGGCGGATGAACTTACTCATCCGGACCCGCAATTTCCGACTGAGAACCGGGTCTTCCCCTCAGTCGAAAGCGAATTGATCAAGCTGATCTTCGCTACTTTCCTTCCTCACCCATGATGCCGGGAGGGCATCCGGTGAGGTGGGAGGATTCCTCCCTCGCTGTGGGAGTGGCATCAATTCTACTCCCATCAGCTGCTGAGGGGAGCTGCCCAGTGGAGCTGGGCAATCCTCCCATTTTGGCACTAATCCTTATGCGGCGTAAAGGATGCACCGTTTCGCGATTAAGGTACCAGTAGCACCAATGTGGTGCTTTGAAGAGTCAAAAAGAACAACCAAAAAAGGATGCCCCTTTTTTCCCATGGAAATGCATTGGGCATCTCAGTTTTCCCCCTCTTCCATTGAGAGAAATCTGCTCCACTTGCCGCCAGGCTTCCCGGGGCTGCCTCAGACGAGTAGGGGCCCCAGTGTCGGGCCACTCGCGCGCGTGTGCGTCTCTTGTCTTTTGGTATCCCTTTTTGGTTGGTTTTAAAGGGAGACCAAGCGGAAACCACACAACTTTTTTGGGGGCGTATCCCTATTTTGAGACAAACTTATTTGGAAGAACAGCAGTCATAGGGATGCCTGCTTCGGTATCGTAGCAAGGCGACCCACAACGCGTGCGGAGGCGATATGCAGTTTAACATGTAGCCTTGTTCGGGCAATTTTAAGGGGTGGACCTATGTGGGCTTGTCTCAAGATACGGGAATCTTCAAGTTCCTTTCGGTTTCTCTTTAACCCCCCCCCCCCATAGGGCGCCTAGACATATTTAATATATATATATATATATATATATTTGGTACAGCATTGCCAGCCCCCCCCCCATGGTCATGGGTGGAACCAGTACCCCCCCCCCCCAGCGTGGATGTGGTTCTTGTCTACTTCCACATCGTCAATGCTCATGAATCCGTTGGATGACCCCCCGCCCCGGGCCTTTCCGGGTCAGGGGGCCCCATACCTTCTGGGGGGGGGGTGGCAACACGGAACACGGGACCATATATGCATACAAATATATATATATATATATATATATATATTCATGGCACCAACTACAGGGGCCCCCGGTGCCACCTTTCATGCCCTGGATGCCTGGGATGTAGGATAGCTGGCAAGGGAGGCTACAATGTGAGTGAGGGAAGGAATGCCCAAGCAATCTGTCTTGGCAGTTTCAGTGTGGTCAGTGCGGGTAAAAGTACGTCAGATAATGTAGTTGGTGGGGCTAATCGAAACATCCTGCTTACATAACTCCAAACGAGTGGTTAGAAATGGGTCCTACAGGGACTATGCAGGGTACGTACCCCAAAATCAATCCCTATATAAGGCTTATAGAGGGGGGGTATGTGCATTGGGGTATGTCAGTAGGCCCTTCGAGCTAAACACCAACTGATGAGAGCAGAGCCTTTCACAGCAATTGCAATTGCGCGTAGCAGGAACCTGACCATGGTGGAAAGCTTGTTTTCTCTTCTTCTTTTTTCCAATGTCCCCTGTTGGTTACAGGGAATCTATCACTACTTGATCAAGTAGTGAGAATGACCTAGACTAGCACAACGATTTTCTGAAGCATGGTACCTCGTCAGAAGTTTCCAATGCACTCCAAGGTTTCGTTTGGATGCACCTGCGGATTTTCCCCTTGCTGTTGCTGTTGGGCATCCAACATTTTGGGTTGTTGTCTAGGTGTATACCTCACCTTGTACATTCATGATAGAGGCGTCAGTGTCATTCTGTGCCGCTCTGCGGAAATCAGATATTGCAGGACCCCCACCAAAAGTTAAATCAGTATTGCTATTCCCCCCCTTGCTCCCGTACGAGGGGCTCTCGGCGCCCTGAGGTGATGGCGCCCCCTGCGCTGCGCGCTAATCGATCGCCAACGAGCCAAATGGTTGGAGAAGAAAAGCCGCCTTGGGTGTTGCGCGCCATTGGTGAATCCATGCTTGAGGATCCGCTCACCCACCTGCCCGCTTGGAAACATGCATAGATGATGGGCCGTTCCGCATGAATTGAAGTCATAGTGTTAAGTTGCGCTCTCCCCTTGCGCTTCTGGATCGAGTGTGTAACTAGGCACACCAAGTTGGCGACGCCGGGAACGGTATGTGTTCAATTTGTTCTAAGGCCCGCGGTTCAGCGGTCAAACAAGGGTCCGATGAGACTCGCTCCAGATTCCAGATTCCAGTCCCGGCCTAATTTTCGACCCCCCAAATTTGGAAAAGGGTCAAAGACAGGCCAAAGGTTCTTCCGCTACCTCACGATTCCCGGAGCGCGACTGGGGGCTCGTCACGCCCCAGTTCAGCCGCGAGGATTTCCCTTGCATTTCGGGTGGGGTAAGTTGGACCACGACATCGCTTGGATTCAGGGGTACTAAAATGGGCGCTTCGCTTTTTTTTGAGGCTGATCCAAGGTTGTGGTTTCAAAAGGGACACCACACGCGTTTTTTTTGGGGGGGAGGGCCGCCCCCCGAAAAAAGGTAACACCCAGGTGGACCCAGGGTCCAGTCTGAGCAATGCACCTGGCTCGCAGGTACCCGGTCATGGAGCGGGCGCGGCTCCGGCGCCGCCAGGGCTGGGAGGTCCGTTCGGAAGAAGCGGGTGGCGGAAGGGGGGGGGCGAAGCTATCTGCTGGATTAGGACTGAGCGCCTCTAAGTCGGAATCCATGCTGGCTAGGCAGTGTTGTGCACCCTTCCCATTGCGACATGCCGACTGCAAAGCTTGGGCGCACTTCAGCCCTGGGGGGTGCCATGGAAACTTGGCGTCAATTTTGCAGCCGGGAGCCCTGAAAAACCAATACTCCAAAAGAAGGAGGTTGCAAAAAAATGACCTTATGTGACCATCATACCGGAAGAGGCGGGGTGTTTCGCACCGAAATTGGATTGGCGCCAACCCGGAAGTGGCCTGTTTGAGGCGTCTCGCGCTCAGCGATTCGGGGGTCAAACCAGCATGATGAAGGTTGTTTACTAGGCTTCGGCTTTATTTCTGGTTTTGCAATTGTTGTAGAATTTGCAGATACATTGCCAGACTGAATTCATGTTTGTACCCTTTTGCCCTTTTGAGTTTCCTGATTTTGCCCTATACCGAGCAACACGTTGACTTTGCAGGTGGTCGAAGTCTGGCCTACTTGGATCTCTTTTGAACGGAGCTCACATGTTGAGATTTGGGGCCAGAATCAAGCATGTTGTGTTTGGGAGGGCCAAAGGCTGCCGCTGTGCTTTGCGGTGGGTGAAAGATGGAGATTGGTGAGGTGTTCGGGGTTTCAGCTTTCAGGGGTGAAGGATGGAGCTTGGTGAGGGTTGAGCGAGCCCCCCAAACCGAGCAATTCAAGCCACGGGAGTCTTGAGGCCATGTGTGCCACGGCCAAAAGACCGGTTCCTTTATGTGGGGTCAAGAGGGATGGTCATCCGCCTGATCCTTAGTAAGTATTCCTGATAGGAAACCAGTAGATTTGGGTGTGGCAGATGTGGCCGATGTTGCCGCCATTGCTGTGTATGTCGCTGTTCGAGGTGCGTCCTGTCCCATCGAATTTCAACAGGCAGGAAGCCTGTTGAAGCTGCAAGCCAACTCGCATGGTGCAGGGCCTTTCTCAAGCACCTGAGTCATCCATCAGGCGTGGCCCTTGCAATCGTTGGCATGTCTCTAAATGAGTGAAACCCCAAAATGGACGGCTTCCCTTCCAAAGCCAGCCCAAGATGCTGCCAGGAATCAATTGTGATCAGTCCAGGTACGTTTCTAGCAAACTCACCGATCCGAGCGAAATGAGCAATGCTGCCCATGCTGGTCCCTTATTTGTGGTTTCCTTGCTCCAGTATTGATCCAAATCGTGGTAACTCTCGTGCCATTTCCTGAGGAGGTAGCAAGAAAACCAAAGAAAACAAGCAACTTACCCAGATTCGGCACGGAAACTCTGAACTCCGGAGCCCTCCGGAGCCACACAGCTGTTGTTTCTTTTCTTCGGAGGAGTGGGGGTCCTGTTGAGAGAAAACTTCAGACTCTTCGGCCATGGACGCCGGCGGCTTTGCGGGAGCGGCACCTCCGGCCCTTCGGGCACCTGCGGCACCTGCGGCACCTGCGGCACCTGCGGCACAGGCCGCCGGGCCGCCGGCTTTTGGGGAGGAAGGGGGGACCTTTTTCCCGGAGCTTTCTGCGGGTGTAAGCCGTAAGCCTAGAGAAAAGCGTTGCCGTGGCTTTTTCCGTGGTGTTTTGTTTGCGTAGTTCCGGGTTTTGTTTTTCTGAGACAAGACTGAAGCAGCGGCTGGTTTTAGCGGCCATGGCCCTGGGCCCCCCGGGCTCGGTGGCCATGTGTCCACCCCGTTTGCGCTGCTTCAAGGCATGTGTTGTTGCACCTGGAAACCTCCTTCCCCAGTTCCCCTCAGGGTTCAGGGGTGGTGCTAACCACGCCCGGCCTGTGCCATCCCCATTTTGCCGTGTTTGTTTGAGGGTATCCTTTTGGGAAGCCAAAAGGAAAGCCCTGCCATTGTGGGGGTGCATTTCCCCTATGTTGACACATACCGTCACATACCCATATGTTTCTTGGGTTGGGTATCTATTTCTGGTAGCAGATCTCAATTTGCACGCAACCGGGGTGGCCATGGCCCCAATATGGCCATGATGAGCTTCCCTTCTGACAAATAGGTGTGTCCTTGTTTGAGGGCTCCCCTTTTTGTGCGGGCGGAAAAAGGGACACCACACTTTTGGGGTCTTTCAAGAAAAAGGAAAGACGCGCCCGAATGAAGCCTGTGATTTCGAGGTTTTATCGAGGCATTACCATGTGGTCGATACATCTGCCAGCGCGTCGCCGAGTCATCAACCGAACAGGAGGAGCACGGTTTTGAGCCCCATTTCTTGGGACCTCTTTTATCATGTCGCATGTGAATGTTCACACAATATGTGGCAGAATCTAAACAATGGTCATATGAGTATGTAGTTGGGGAGAGCGGAGGGTAGTTGAACATCACTTGTGGTTGGTTGCCATTTTGATGTGAGCTTCCCTTGGTTGTTTAAATGAGGAGAGAGGTCTGTTAGAAACACTAGAGGGCCGTTGGAACCGGGGTTCTGGGAAGGAGAGGTTGGCTCTTCCATTTGCTTAAGATGTTTGTTTAATGTTCCCTTGTTGGTTTTAAAGGGAATCGATCACTACTGGAAGTATTTTCATTTTTTCCAAGGGACTCAAGCAGACGGGGAAGCAACAAATCGGTGGGAAGCCTTTGGCTGGGGAGAAGCTGAGATCCGGCACCGCCAAGGAGTTTCCACTTGCAAAACCACATGAAGCACATGCAACAAACCGCCCAAGGGAGATTCCTCTACAGAGGGGGTCCTTAAAAGATATATACATGCCGGTGCGTTAAAGTACACACTGATTTGGAGGACTTCCTATGTGGAATCCACTGGTTGTCTCAGCTAGGGTCTCCTCCAAAGATGTATTTGAGTTTGAGGGTTGAATAAATATGAAGCAGAGTCACACACACATATCTCTATATATCATATATATATATATGTGTGTATATATGTGTGTGTCTTTGTTGAGTAAAGATTTGGACAATAAAAGGACGCCTAGGTTTAAGTTGCTGAGCCAAGCACTCGCAAGGCCTGGCGCCTCCCGCAGGTGGCCAGCACCCAGCGCACAGGCGGAGCCGCTTCGCACCAGTTGCTCCCCTAGACATTCACGGAAACCCAAGGTGGACTCCGGCAGGGGCTTGCATCCATCCCAGTCGGTGCAGGATTTCCTCCATGGGGATAGGCGTTTGATGCTTTGCGTTTGGGCCGTGGTCATAGGACACTGGCACAGTTATCAGAGACGACATTCTGACAAGGTTCCGTCCTTCTACTGGGGTCATCACTCAAAAAGTGAAGGCTTGCTGGGTGAAAGGTTATGCTGCTCCTGTTTGCCACAAACCTCTGCGCATGCCAAAGGTCAAGTCTGTGTTGTTTCTCTGCCGCAAGAAAGCATGAGCAGTCTGACTTGACTCCATCGGGTGATGCCGACCCCCCCCAAGCACGGATTGCGTTCTGCAGCTGCATTCTTATTGGCCAGCCATGAAGATTCCATGAATGAAAACATTTATGATCTTGGGTCAGTGAGTGATTGATGATACTTCACCCGATTCCTTATCACGAACGCTAGCTTTTAGCCAGCTGAAGTTTCTCCTTGCGTAAGCAAGGTAAGGGGCTGAAATGCCGAAAGATTGATTTTATCAACTATTTGAGCCAAAAAGATTGCAAGAATCAATTATTTAGACCCCCCCCCTTCCCGGGCTCGAATTCCCCCTGGTCCACCCCGCGCCCTCAAGCATTGACTTGGACCCAGAAACACATTTGCAGGGAATTCGGTCTGGATATTGCATGTAGCCTTCTGAGGATCTTTTGCCTTGCCGTGGTGCTCACTACCGGCTGCCCCCCCGCGCACGCATCATAAGCGGAAGCCGTCGCAAACGTAATTGTCGGTCAAGACAGTTCGCAGTCCAGGGAGAAAAGCTTTCGTTTGAAGACTAAAGTGCGACCCGTTTTCCTGACAAAGCAGCCTCTCCCAGACCCGCTGTCTCTTGTAGCTCCCCTATGCGCGCGTGTTGATGTGTTTGTGTGCTTGAGTGCTTGTGGGTTTGGGTGTTCGTGTGTGGGTTTGTGCCTTTGCGTGTTTGTGTGTTTATGCTGATGTGTGTTTATGTCTGCGTGTCAGCGCCGCACACTGTAGCAGCAATTCTGCACTCAGGCGGAAAAAATGCGATTCAGGCGGAAAACAAAGGTTTTTTTTTTTTTAACAAAAAAAACACCCACATGTTTAGGGGGGCCATAGTTTCGGCTTTCATCAATGTTGTTTGTTTTTCCTGCCGTTGGTTTGTTGGGACTGCTCTCTTTGCTGGGGCACTCCAACAACAGTCGATCTCTCCCCCGGCAATCAGCGCGGAGGCGACGGCTTGTTTTGGCGCCGGCCAGAGGCCGGAAGCGCATCACATGGTGATGTGTAACAGAAGGGCATGGTTGCTGTTGGGAACAATTTGCATTTTTGCTTATTGTGGTTTAGTGGGACATCCCCATTTACCTGCTGAAATTTAGTTTGTTGCTCCCCTTCCAACGTCAACGAAGAGGGCCCAACTAATTGGAATCTGGCTGCGCGGCTGGGTCGCCCCATCTTCTTCCCATGGCCGCCAGTCTGGGTCGGGTGTAATGCAAGATCAAGATGTCTCGATGGGGGATGGTTTAAAACCAAGTGTACTTGTATAGTCATTGTTTTTGGAGAATCCTGCGTACAACTTTTGTTGGCCCCTTGTGTAATTCCTTCCAAAAGGCGAGGTGGTGTTTTGAGAGGGCACCCCCTTTTCGGGGCCCGACGAACAAAGTGATGGACTCGAGCAGTCCAGTAGCATGGGCACAGAACCTTCAACAAATCCAAACTCAGCGAGTTGACCCTGGGGAAAAAGATCTGGCCCGAGCCGCAAGGATGGTAGGATCTTGAATGGGAAGGATGGTGCAGACCAAGCCTTTAGCGTGCAGTCCCTTGACTTGGCTGTCCTGTAAAATCTGGAATTACTCTCATGCGATTATATGCTGGCTGTCTTTTATTAATGCTTTCTTGTTCAATAGGGCAAACTGGTCAGTGGACGTGGTCCCCAAAGGCCAAAGGCATAAATGATGCCCACCAAAGAGTCCCATTTCAACTCTTGACAGGGCGTCGCTGCGGCGAGCTTGATGGCGATGTGCGCCAGATCAGGTTGCTTGGCAGAGGGACTCGACCCGGTGCTCAGTCTCAGTGATCAGGTGCACAAATTTAATGATTATATATATATATATGTACATATATATATATATATATTATGGATCCTGGTCCAAGTCTGGACAGACCCCTTCATCTTGTTTTAGTGCATGATGGTCGGTTGTTTCATGCCTATGCATTTTCACACTCCGCTTGTCCAAGGCTTTTGAATACTGGGTCCCCTTTTTCAGATGGTCTTCCCGCACGGATAGCCACGACATTCTTCTGTAGGTTGCAACAGCCCTCCAGATGGCAAGGTTTCCTCGTTCTGAGAAAATCGCGGGCACAGGGTTGGGCAGAATTTAATTCACCAAGTCGCTGCAACGGATCCCGATCAAAGAGGATGACCACGTGACTTGATATGTAAACCGAAGTGGTTGGACTGCCTTGCTCGGTCACGTGCGCTTTGTCAATGGAGGACCGTTTAATCAGATCTAGGAATCATCATGGAACGATGCACTAATTACTAGGGCTACCAGAAGGTAGCCCTATCAACTTGGTTCCCAGCCACCTCTTCAGGTTTTCAGATTTCCGCTAACCCACTAAGGGGTTTGACCCGCAGGAGATCTGGGACAAAAAAAAAACAGCACCCTGCGCAAAGGGCACCAGATCACGCGACGGGGCCGGACCCCGAAAGCCGAAAGGGACGCGTAGAGGAGTTGATGTCACCAAAGGCTCGCTTCCCGTGCCTGGACTTCGAACTTTTTGGATTTGGACCATGCTAGCGGGTTTGAAGCCCTTGCTTGAAGACATCACTTGCTGGTTCCCAGAGGGAAAGTGCGGTGGCAATGAACCCAACAATCCCCTGAAGTGTTGGAAACCACAAGGGACGGTCAGGGGAGTACAATTTCCTTGCCTGATCAGAGCCAGCAACATACAATTTCAGGGGCTTAAGCATCTAGAATAGAGGTGTAGGGCCTACTTTCAAAGCCAGTTTGCGTCAGGATGGCAGCAAGTTCTGCATTTAGCCCCTCGTAGTGAGTAACAGTCAGTTGGCACATGCACCACAATTGTGGCCGACCCTTCTCCCTCCAAATGTGGGCTAACTGTACTGTACCTGGCCGGGTGTGCTATCTATTTCTTACTCACATGTGGGAGCTTCTCAGAATGGACCCCCTTTTGGATGGTTGCTTTCGGGGCTTTGGGCCGAATCCCTTTGAGACCCCCGGCCCGCCATTTTGTTCCCCGAGGCCGCACCCGGCCCACCGCCCCAACCGCCCGCCGCGCGGTGCCCGCGACCCCCGCGGTGTTCGCGGTGGGGGCGGCGGCCGTGGCGGCGCTGGGGGCGGTGGCGGTGGCGGCGCTGGCGCCGGCCGGGGCGCCCACGGAGGCGCTGGTGGTTGGAAATGGTTCAGCCCAACATGCGCTTCAAAAGAATTCACAGGTTGGATCGGAACGGTTCGAAGACGGGTTGGAAGTGTTCAAACGCAGGTGTATGGGTTTGTCCCAAGATAGGAACCCCCTGGTGCCGTTGTTTTCGTTTGCCTCGACCAGCCAAACGGTGCCCCTCCCGTTTTGCGAGTGGCCATGGGCCAGGCACAGCGAAAGGAGCCGCCGAAACTGACCACGGCAGAGCTTCCCGATGACGGCGCCTTGACAGAGGTTGCGACGGTCCATGTGAACAGCTTGGAGTTGTGTTACACTTGTAGCATTCGACTGAAGAACAAATGAGTGTGAGGCTTCTCAAGATTACTTGGGGGTCATCAGACTTCGGGGGGTTCTTAAAATGGTTTCTGAAGTTTGCTCCCGTTTAACGCCCATTTGGTGGCCAAATGTTCAGTTAGTTTACTGAACCTAACCAATCCGTGCCTCTCAAAGATGACCAAAGCCACAGGGGTGGCTGAGCAGCACCAAATAGCCTTCACATTGTATCAGTTTCCCCAAATCCCACCAAAGGGCTATTTTTTCCCTGGAACAAATTGTGTGTGTGTGTGTGTGTGTTTTCAGACCCCCTGTTTATAGCAGAACTGATGCTGTTTGTAGCAAGGGCAACATTGATTTTTGGAAACAGGACCGGTCCCAAACAAGTATCAGTGTACCCCTCCAATCGTTTAGGCCCTGGAAATGAGAGGAGTATCGTTGCCCAGTGCCCTTTGAGGTGTTGTGGGAAGGGAGTCCCTTTAAAGTCAACCAAAAACGGGATGCCGGGATGCCCCTTTTTTTCCCATGGAGATCCACTGGGCAACTGAGAGGGGTTGCGTGTGGTTTTTGTTTTTTTCCAGGGGCCTTTTCCTGCTTGCATGTCACGAGGACCACCGCTACCCGGAGATCTGGAAGAGGCGCTCAAGGAGATACGGCAGCCCCCGAATTGGTGGATGGATGGATGGATGGATTGGGATGGATGGATTGGGATGGGATGGGATGGGATGGGATGGGATGGGATGGGATGGGATGGGATGGGATGGGATGGGATGGGATGGGATGGGATGGATGGACGGTGGATGGATGGATGGACGGTGGATGGATGGATTGGATTGGATTGGATTGGATTGGATTGGATGGATGGTTGGATGGATGGCTGGATGGTTTGGATTTGTATTTGAAAGCCAGAACAAAAGGGGTTTGTGCTTCAGTTTGGAGTTGGTACCATTTTCAGGTGGGTTTCAGAGGAAGCCACAAGGAACACCAACATGCTGTCCGTGGGGCTGTCCACATCCCTAGGTTGACAGAGCCGTTTTGGCTGGATGTGCAGCCTGGGGCTTTTTCGAACCAGTGCGCGCCCTTTTCACTGAGCGAGACGTGTTCAACTCTTTGCGCGGGTAGCCAAATGGTTGCCGGCCAATCTCCAGGTGGGGTACAGTGGAATTCCCTTTGAGTCAAAATGGGTTGCCGGTTCCCCACTTTTGCTTCATATGGAGGGAGTGAACAGTAATTACAGTAGCGACATCCAAATGGCCCCCCCAAAATGGGGGGGTGGATTCCTTTAGTTTCCTGAACTCTCAGAAGGGTTCCGACGGGGACTCGTTTTCCAACCTCCCACCTGCTTGAGTGTCAGGGGCCCTCCCAGGTAACAGATCCCACCGTATAAAAGTGCAGGAAAAGCAAGAATCTCGTGGATCTCCGACATGTACCTTGTACCAACTTTTGGGGTGTTCAATGTGTGCTTTTGGTACTACCTTGTAACCCGTCCATTTTTAACTTTCGGGTTTCGAAGTGCTTTCTTGGTGGCTCCCAGCCATCCCCTTATAGTGAGCTTTTTATGTTTAGTGGTAGTTTCCGTATTTGACCCACAAAAGTTTGTCACTGTTCGCGGGGGATCAGAAAACGGGCAGCCCAGTTGCTGTAACTTGTAACCATCCATTATCCTTTTGGGTATTCAATGTGTGCTTTTGGTACTACCTTGCAACCCGTCCATTTTAAGCCTCTTTTTTTCCGGGTTTCGACGTGTTTTTTCTGGGTTTTCCACGGGGCACTGGGATCACTCACCACTCACCGTGCGCAGACGTGAGGACTTTGAGGGGGACTTCCGGGGGCCCTGGCGCGCTTTGGGCCTGGAGGCTGGCGGCGGGCGGGGAGGGAGGTTTTTTTTTGTTGACGGCACTGGAGCCACAACGACTCGGGGAGTTGGAGGCAGTTGGAGGTAGTTATTATTTTTTGACGGTAATTGGAGGCAGTTGTGAGTGTTTTTGATGGTAATTGGAGGGTAAGGGACAATCCCCTCGAAATAAATGGGTGCGGATATGGATATTGCCGCCTCTTTTCAATATTCTTTACATGGCTCTGGGTACACCATTTTGTTTGATGCCGGGTTTTGATTCTGACTCACTTGGGGTTTTTTGGACGTGGTAAAACTTGGTCGTTGAGTACTGAAAGGGAGGCCTTGAATTAACAAAGAGGTCTGTTCCACAAGCCCAGAAGCCGATAAGGTGAGCGATGAAGACGCGCTTTGCAAACGGACAATGGGTTGTGGATCCAGGGCCAAAGTGGGCCGCAAATCTCCGGACGTTTTGGGGAGATTGGTTCAGGATGAAACTTGCTTGCCGAAAGCCGACCTTGGGATTTGTCAGTTTGGTTTGTCTTTAGTCAAGTTTCCAAAAGCTTAGCCTTTTACATTCGCATGTCCTTTGGAAGGCGAGTAAAGAACATGTCCAGGGCTTTCTTCTTTTGACGGTTGCTTGCCAGGTGCCCAGCAAGTGCCTCCCTGAGTCCTGTGGTATCCACTCAACTACCAGTGCACCAAGTTGGAAGCTTTGCTATCTGAGGGGCTATCCGCCAAGCTTTTAGACTTGAGCTTAGAGCTTTTGGGCCTTCTCAGAGAACACAACCCTTTCCCCCTAGCATCTTGCAAGTTGTTGCTGGGTCATTTGCGGTCGAACTTTCACGCTCCAAAGCCTGTAAACGTATGTGAATTCACCAGAGGGTGATAACTGACCGTCCCACTCCTGCCACACAAAACGGAGTTCACGGCTTTGCAGAAACCAGCAAGAGGCATCACATTTGTCCTCCCGTCTCCCACGAAAAGTGGGGTCTCTGAAGCCCGAGATCAAGGAACCACCACCCCCCACCCACCACCCCCCCACGCCCCACCCACCACCCCACCCCACCCCCCACCCACCCACCCTCCCCCCACGCCACCCCGCCCACCACCCCCCACCCACCCCCCAGCCCAGCGACCTCAGCAGGCCGAGGACCCGCTCACGGAGGAGGAGCTGCGGCAGGCGTACCGCCAGGCGGTGCGGCTGGAGCACCCGGACGCCTCCCAGCGCGCGGATGCGGAGGCGCCTCCGCGGGCGTTTTCGGGGCGAGCGCCTTGGAGCTGGCGCCTGGAATTTCTGGAACGGGTCCCCCGGTTTTCGCGTGGACCCATGAAACAAATGCAGGTGGTTCCACACCCAGAGGATCCATTCGTGTCCATGAGGGAACCAGTGGTTCGGTGGTTCGACACTTGCTGCTCTTTGGCTTGACCTTTCTCATTTGAAGCGCGATGAGTCAATGAGGTTTGAATTCGAATCTGCAATGCCGTGCATGGGTGAATTGATTCTGAAAAGAAGATCCAGAACAAAACTGTGTGACCAGAGTTTCCTTTCATCTTTTGAAGACAAATCGTGAGTTTCCCGACTCACCAGTACAGGCAATCGCTTGTTACAGGGGGTGACACATGCGGTCTGGAAGGATCGAGCACTCCAGTTTCATGGGCTTCCCGTGATGGGTTCAATGTTTGGGCAGGATGCAACGGCCTGTTTGACCAGAGCCAAAACAGGCTTGGGTGTTGCTAAATCAGCAACCGGTAACCGCCTTCCATCATCATCAACAATCGTTGTGGAGGGCGTCCATATTATGAGGGGCTGCCTTGATGGTTTGGGTGACACCCTAAATCAGGTTCAAACGAGGTAGGAACACCCAACAAGGTAGGGCCATGACGTGTAGGTTGAGATCACAAATGCATGCGGCGTTGGAATTCAAGGTCAATGAGTCCAAACAGGTGCAGGGTGGGAGAAAGAGGTGGGAACACCAGACCATTCAACCATGTAGCATGAAAAGTGCCGTCATATGGGGCACAGCACAAACTTATCATGTTGCCATTGGGGGGCAAAGGACTTTGCGAGAGCTGCTCACACCATAGGGGCCTACACATCGAGTGTTTTGCCGTGAGTTGCAGGCTTTCGACTGTTGGTTGGTTGGTTTCATCAGTCTTGCAAAGTCCCACAAAGCTTGAAGGCCCAGGATAGGCAGAGCCACAAAAAAGCTGGAGGCTAGGTGCGACTATGCGTGCCTTTAATTCTAAATCCATTTTAGGGTTGATTGGTTGGTGCTGGTTTTCTGGAAAGAAGGACTGCGGGGTCCAGAATGGCCTAAGGACCAAGAACCGTGGCCCCTATGTTTTTAAAGCTGTCACCAGAACCATGGGTTTTTGGGTAGGCTCCTTCAAATACCAACAAGGCAAAGTAGACATCCCTACAATGACACCTACACTATAACATCTCTGCATACCAAATGGTTTACCAAAGGTTTCCATTCTCAAGATGTGTGTGTGTGTGTGTGTGCGTCTGATGTTCGGTACCCTGTTCAACTTCAAAGGAAACTAATAGAAACAGCAAAGCAGTTTCATTATGTTAACCAATCTTCAGATAGCAATTTGTTCTTGTATGATACTGCAAGGGTATCCTTCTTGTGGCTAGCAAACCAAAGGCAAAGCCCGCCCATGTGGGTCCTCCCCCTTTTTCGGCACTGCAGGAGCGTTTCCAGCGGGTCCGCAAGGCCTATGCCATCCTCTCCGACGAAGGCGCGTTGCTCGCTTCTCGATTTTTTTCTCCGCGCCCGCTTTTAAAGAGATTGTTTTTTTTTGGGTATCAACGAAGACGAGATGGGTGGAGGCTACAAAACGATGCACGTGTTTGTTTTGGGTAGAGAGCGTAACCCCAAGCTTCCCTGAGCTCCTGGACTTGAGGGTCGGGGGGCTTATGACTCGCCGAGGAATCCGTGGTCCGTGATGCTTGGAAAAGTGTTTTTTTTGGGGACGACTGTTTTGAATCACGGACAAGAAGTTGGTTTGGACTTTGTTGAGCCAATCCGCTCATGAGCGCGTAGTCTAGCCAGGGACCGTTTTGGGGACAGATTGGGAAATTTACATGAGTTGTGTTTACAATGGGTTGTCTCAAAATAGGTGATGTTGAACCTGCGCGATGGGCGTGGGCTTCCCTTTGTTGTCGCTTGATATGGACAATCCGCAACAAGTGTCCTATTTACCTAGCCTAGTTGTTAATTCACGAACCAACTAGACATCATAAGGTACCCTGAACCCATTTTGTTTGGCTCAAGGAGAAACAAGTGCGTTGCTGCTTGTTGCCAGGGTTGTTTTCTACGGTCCCCTGGGTCTCCTTGGTTTCAACTGGTTAGCAGCCTCAGCCTTTAAGGGTATCACTACCACGCGTTGCTTTCATTCGGTGTATCTTGGAGCCATAGTTCCTCGCTTTTCTCAAAGCATCCATTGAGCCGGTTTCCGCATTCTTGACTTGCGCGGCAGTTTTCACTGCAATACAGCTTGCTTTGACACGTCCACATCCTGCCGGACCAGGTCCATAGTTACTTGTCTTCAGGTGTCGAGCAGCATTCACCTTTGACTCGCAACGCGCCGTGATTATACAAGACTCAAACTGCATTTGAAGGGTTGCCACGCGCATACATTTTTGGCACACGCCCTTGCACACAGGAGTAGATCTCCACACATCCTTGGACTCGAGCCGGCTTAGATCGGGCTCGGTCTAGGAGAGGGGCTGCCGCGAACGCAACAGGTTATCGCTTCTGCGCGCAGGTCCCACGCTGGCCTGGAACGAAGAATGTCAGCTGTGAAAGTCGCAAGAGTGCTCATGCTGGCCGGAGGTGCAGGAACTCCCTGGGGCATGGATCACTGGCAGTTTGGTCTAGTGGCATGATTCTCGCTCAGGGTGCGAGAGGTCCTGGGTGCAATTCCCAGAACATCAAGCTCTTTTGAAGGAACCAGGGCAATGAGAGCAACAGATCTTTTATAAGCTGCCCCAGACTTCGGAAAAACGTACAATGACATACTAACATCTCTCAGCAAGGAATGATGCCTCAGGTTCCCACAGCGCTTGTTGCGTGTGTCCGGGCATGCGCAGGTTTGCCGAGGGATTTGCACCAAAAGGCTTGTTTTTGTGATGTGTGTTTGTTTTTGGGCGGAGGGGGCGCTCCTTGCGAGCTCAAGCACGGAATATTGAGGCTTGCCAGCCTGATGGTCTCTCTGTCTCTCTGTCTCTTTGTCCAAGAAAGCGAGAGGGAGCGAGAGCGAGTGAGAGAGAGAGGGCGAACGAGAGAGCGAGAGAGAGAGAGAGAGAAAGACAGAAAGAAAGAAAGAAAGAACGAAAGAAAGAAAGAAAGAAAACAACAGAAAGAAAGGAAGGAAGGAAGGGAGGGAGGGAAGGAAGGAAGGAAGGAAGGAAGGAAGGAAGGAAAGTCAGAAGAAAGAATGACAGAGAGAGAGAGAGAGAAAGAGCGCGAGAGAGAGAGAGAGACCGGGAGAGAGAGAGAGAGAGAGAGAGAGAAAGAGGAAGAGAAAGAGAGAAATAAATATAAACAGGAAGAGAAAGAGAGAAAGAGCAAGAGAAAGAGAGAGAGAGAGACAGAGAGACAGACAGACAGACAAAAGAGAGAGACAGAGAGAGAGAGAGAGATAGAGAGAGAGACAGAGAGACATAGAGACAGAGAGACAGAGAGACAGAGAGACAGAGAGACAGAGAGACTGAGAGACAGAGAGACAGAGAGACTAAGAGACAGAGAGACAGAGAGACAGAGAGACAGAGAGACAGAGAGAGCGAGAGACAGAGAGACAGAGAGACAGAGAGACAGAGAGGCAGAAAGACAGCGAGACAGCGAGACAGGGAGACAGGGAGCAGGGAGACAAAGAGACGGAGAGCCGGAGAGACGGAGAGAGAGAGGGAGGGACGGAGAGACGGAGAGACGGAGAGACGGAGAGACGGAGAGACGGAGAGACGGAGAGACGGAGAGACGGAGAGAGAGATGTCTCTCTGTCATTCTGTCTCTCTGTCGTTAGCATTGCAGCGTCCATTTCCCGCCAAATTCCCTCCATTTCCGTGCACTTGTCCTCCTTTCCCTTTTCCTTTGAATTCTCCCCCTTCATTTTCTTGTCATTTTCTCGGTATGTCCGCTCCACTTTCCATGTCCGTCCCCTTCATTGCCAGTCATTTCCCTTTGCGTCCTTTGATTTCCTCGTCACTGTTTTTCATTTCATTGTTTCCACGTCCTCACATTTCCTTTATTTTCCCTTCATGTTCCCAACAGGTCCTCTTCATTTTCCCTGCACTTCCCTTGCATTTCCCCTTCGTTCCCATTCCATGCATTTCCCATGAAGAACGTATCGTGTCGCTACGGTGACATATAGACTGGTGAAAAGTTGGCTTGATTTTGTGATCCGCTGGCCTAGAACTTTCAAACATTTTGAATGGACAAATTGTCCCCTGTTGCTTTTAAAGGGGATACATCTATCTCTCACTACTGGACGTTGTTGTTGTTTCCCCCCAAGAAACATTGGCACATGGAGACTTGGATGGCGGCTCTCCTGTGCTTTCCCATGTGACGGAGTGTTTTCTTTCCTACGGCAGGTAGCCGGGAGCTGCTGCTGGAGGCCATCGAGCAGCGGGCGGCCAGCTTCGAGGAGCTGTGTCTTGGGCTGAATGGCCTCAGACAGCTTAGGGAAACCCAAAGAGAGAGAGGGAGAGAGGCAGAGAAATATAAACATATAAATAAATATATACATATATATATATGTATATGTTTACGTACGTATTTGTGTTGAAGTTCCGTTAAGGGGGCAATGGCTGAGGTAGCTATCTTGTCAGACAGGTTTCTCCGTCTAAAACGCGAGTAAGAGGGATGGTCATGGACGCAAGGATTTAGACAGGCGTCCCTTCAAGGTTTTGACCATGGAACATATGAAGCCTTCCGTGGCCTTTGATTCCCAGGGCTCGTTGTTTTTTTCCTTTTTCGGAGGCTGCTCTTCTTTTGGGGAGAAGAACCTTGAGGAAGGCCTGGGAACGGGCAAACAGAATGATCGAAAGAATCTGGGTGTCGTAAGAATAGGGGCCGTGTTTCTTAGTTTTCTGCTTGGGTTAATTTGTCCCCAGGAACCGGTCCAACGCGGAGAGCGGCATTTTTGGCGCGAACCCAGAGAAATCTCCTGCTCGGCTGAGTTGTTTTTCTTGCCGGACTTGGCGGAAACAACACACACACACATGCTACACATGTTGCGTGTTCCCTGAGAGGCAAACCTTTGGCGTGGTGCTGCCTGAGGAATTCCGGGAATCGGCCTGTCCTTCGCATACTCCTTGCTGTTGCTGGGGTCATGCCCATACCACAAGCGTTGGGTTAAAGTAGGTGGGTGTGGTTGGTGTCTTTCTTGGAGGGTGCCCTGATTGGATGGTTGTGAAGAGGAACCAACCCATGAACAACCCGAAAGGTGGAGAGGTGAGCATTCTTGAGGCATCTGGATTGATGCTCTTCTCTCTCTCTCTCTCTGTCTCTATCTCTATCTTTCATCATCGGATGCGCCCTCGCTTCGAAACCGGGGGGAGGCGTCGGGTTAGAGGGGGTGGTGAGTCCTATCTCTGCTGAGGACTAGCTTCGGGCTTGAGGAAGAGAAGGAAGAAGGCGCGTTTTGGTCTTATCCGGGATCGCTCCCCCGGGGCCGCTGCGTGCTTTGGCGCGCCTTTGCCAAAGTGCGTTGGCGCCCTTGAAAGCGAAAGAGTGAGGGTGTTGAAGCGATGGTCGCTCTTTACATGGAGCAAGCTCCACCCTTTGGAGCCAACAGAAAGACACCCACGAAGTAAGACCTTGCGGCCTTGCGGAAACCATTGGCCAAAAAGTCCCAACCCGATCTGCCCCGTTTGAGGTAGTTCACTAGGGACAGCATGTAGCTGGGGATTGATGTTCACCCACTTCCATGGAGATTCCTTGTTGACATTTATAGCCACATGGAACCGCAAGAAAAATCCCAGTCTCCAGGCGGCTTCCCCTGGTGGATCCTTTGGCTGCTGTTGGGTATGGCGCTTCTGCTGCTTTTGCTGCTGCGCTTGGCCAGCCCGGACATGCAGATCCGGCCGAAGGACTTAACCCCTGCCCCACCCAGACCAACCTCGGTTTGCCAAGTCTATAGCAAGCCATTTTTCCTTGTCGAATTGGGGACAACTTGCACCGCTTTTGCTTAGTGGATGCTCTGCATTGATAGTGTGCGGGTCGTAACCGATTGTGTGTGTGTGTGTGTCTGTTTCTGTGTCTGTGTCTGTGTCTGTGTCTGTGTCTGTGTCTGTGTGTCTGTATCTGTG